AAATTCAAGGCAAAGTTTGATTTGATAAAAAATAAAATAAAAAAATAAATAAATCTATTTTGGCCTTAATTTTGCCATTCAGTTCTAACTGACTATAAATCAGAGTTTAGTGAAGACCATGTTGTGTGTTTTCATTTCTGCAGAGGTCCTTAATGTAATGAACAACAATAAACCTCTCATATCACGTGATCCTTTACCATTACTCTGTACGAGTGAGCGCCTTCCCATATTGTCCCTTACTCCAGTGGTGTCCCTCTTTCCATACCATAGTGTTGTGTGTGTGTGTATAATTAATATATATATATATATATATATATATATTATATAATTTTTTACCATCAATTTATGTCCCCCTCTCCATATTCTACCCACACACATTCTGCTTTCTCCAAATCTCTCCCTCCCCCCATACAAAAAATAAAATCATGTGTTCTTTTTTAATATCCCCACACCCCTTCAACCTCCATATTAACCCCACACAGCTTTTGTCCCTTTTCTGATCAATCTGCTCTGTATTCTCCCCACTTTGTGTCCCTTTTTTCAAATCACCCCACACTTCATTATAATCAGGCATACAGCCATCATTTTAATCTCACTTCTGGACTTTTTACTAGACTCACCCCTTTACCTTTCTTCATATACCCCTTCTCTCATACACACACACACACACACACACGTCCCCTTTTTTTTTTTTTAAATAACTCCCTACTCACACTATTACTTCATATCCCCCCTCCCTCCATTTATTTTCCCTGTCTGTCCAATCCCATATCATTATTCTATAATTATTCTCTCCCTACCTGCTCTGGTGTAGGCTGGCTGAGTGGCATGGGACTGGTACTCCTTGCAGAGAGCTCATTTTGGTGCAACCTGCAAGTAGGATGGAGAAGCAATAGCAGTCTATTCCTGCTCTCTGTTGCAGCCCTGGTACAAGAGTGAACACTCTGCTGCTTCATAAGTGCAGGCTTTAATTTTTTTTATTTGTTATTAAACAAAAGACCCACTTCAGGTAATCCTGTACGGGTACCTGTGGGGAAGGAGGCAAGTGCCCCCCCACCCCTCCCCCATGTATGTGATTTGTATGATTCTCACACATCTTTATGCAGATTTGTATTTATTTTCACTTGAAAATGTTAGCACTGTACAGGTGGTCCTCACTTTACAACCTGTACTACAACAGCTCGCACTTACGACCAGCTCTCTAGTGTGGGGATTCCACAAGTTAGAGAGCTGGTCTATGTTTGGGGAATTTTCTCCGAACATAGGATTTGAGGGCTTCCCTGCTCTGCTGCGCTTGTCTATGTTCGGGGAAACTTCCCCGAACATAGACCTCACTTACCGACCAATTCGTTTTACGAATGGTTGTAAGAACGGAACCCGGTCGCTAAGTGAGTGTCCGTATAAATAATTGCACTTGAAAGAACAGCAGTGCATGGGCACATCTTGACAGCTTTTATGCACTTCCCTCCCTACTTACTACGGGTATCTACAAAGAGCAGTACTGGAGCTCCCACAGGAATGCACTAACTCAGGTTTGGACCTTCTACTCAAGTCGTATTGTTCTTCACGTTCTAATTTATCAGGTCAACTAAAATGCGCTTAAAGGAACGTTATTCACCAAGCTCACTCAATGTCTCATGATCATTAAAATGGTCTGGGTGCAATGTCCATGTTCCCTTAACCCAGCAATGTAAAACTGGGCGGTTTTTGAGAAACTAGAAGGTTTACATTGCAGGGTAAAGGATCTAGTGGCTTTTTGTCTTGCGGTCAAAAATTATATTTTATAACCAATGATGTTTACGAAGTTTGTTATAATTTATAGAAAACAATTACACAAAATAAATTACACACACACACAAAAAAAGAAGACATTCATAAGAAACTTCATTTATTAAACATCTGTACATATGGGGAAACAAAATCTGTACAGCAAGTTTATGTGAAGTGATCTTAGAAAAGGGTGGAAGTGGCATTAAAAACTGAAGAACCACTTAAATCATGTATAAAAATATCTAGAACAGTGAAGATAACACTGAATTCCTGATAAGCTTTTGACAGTTGGAAATTAGAATAAAAGTCTCAGTGTTAAAAACATTGAATATATTAAACCAATTGGTGGCCCTTATCCAAAAATAAACAATGCAAAATAAATTTACAAAAAGACCAGTAAAAAAATTTCCACCCTACTTAAATCTACCAGACTGAATTTTATAAAACTTAAAAACGGCAAAAATTAACCAGTGGTACATGGAAAAGATGAATTAAAGAGATTTACTAACATATTTTGCACTTACTATGTATTGTTGCCAACTCCGGTTAAATAAAATCACGTTGATATTAGGAGGGGAACTAATCTTGTTTGAATCAGCAACAGAACGTGCCGATACATTATTGCCTAACTCACAGAGGAGGTAAAACAAAAAAAACTGAACAAAACAAAAAAAAGCCAGAAATCTGCTTGTGGCTGAATATAGGCAAAATAAAAAAAATAAAATCCCACAAAACAAAGCCCCCACAGTCCCAATAAGAAGCAGTATAACTAAAGAGGTTTGCCTTTTTGTTGGTTTCTTGGGGAATTCTTCAGAACATTTCGAAGCCGCAGGTATGTACCAGTTGATTCAGACATATTGTCATATTCAAATGGTGTGATGCCAGCAGCAAATTTACTCATATCTGGTTTGCCTGAATTAGTGACAGAGGGAACCTCACAAGCACTCTCTTCTGGGGCATCATCATTAACTTCAGTTTTCTCCTCTGCAGCATTTATAGCTGATCCATTGCCCTCTACTACTGTACAGTCAACATGGTTTTCTTTTAACGGCTCATCTTCTTCAGGTAAAACAGAGATATCATCATCAGGTTCTGTTGCAATTGCATCTAGGAAGGCATCAGAATTATTTGATACACTACCTGGATTGTGAATTGCAGGCTTCATCTCTGTCACATTATCTACATCAGTCCTACTTGGAGATGAGGTGACAGAAGTCACAGTTAAAGGTGTGGGAGCATCTGAATCACTGTTTGTGCTTTCTGCATTCTCGAGAGCAGCCCATATTAAACGTTGTTGCTCTTCCAACTCTTCCAGGGTCAACGCATCTTCATCCATCGAATCTACCACCTGTGGTTTTACATTTAAACTATCCTTGCCGTGAGGCATTGGGGATCCTCTTTTGGGAGTCGGTGGAGGTGTGCCTTTAGGAAGTGGTGGAGGAGTTGGAGTTGGAGGAGGTGGAGGAATAAAGTTGGTAGGAGTAGATGGAGGAGTTCCACGTGGCAATGGTGGTGGAGTACCATACAGTGGCGATCCAGGAGGAAGAGGTGGTTGAAATTTAAAGCTTCCAGAGGAAGGTGAGCTCAAAACAGTATCCATATCTGAAACCAATAGATCCAATAATGATTAGACACAAAAGATACAAACTCCCCATCGCCATTTTATAAGAGATAAACTGCACATAAAGTATTCTCTGACCATCACAAATTTTTAATCTCTTTGAGCTTTTTCTATGAGTGATAACTTTGGTACCTGACTCCATATCCATATCAACTGGTGATTCTCTCTGGTTCCCATAAGTCTTCTGTTTTTTTCTATTGAAGGAAGCTGATGGAGAAGCAGATCTCTTTATGCTGGTATTTGGGCTGTGCTAAGAAGATAAAAACAAAAATAATATATATAAGCTTCCCTGTATTTTTTTTTTTTTTTAAAGGAATGCTATAGTGTTCTCCCTATTTTGATTCAGGGGACCCAAAATCAAGTTTAAGAAAAATGCATATAAAAAAAAATAAAAAAATCATGATGTATTCATTTTTATCTAACTTGGAAGGATGAAGGGCTGAGTCAAACCTGCTGGGATGTGAACCTGCGAGCCCCAAGGTTGAACAGATTCTAGTGATGATGCATTAACCCACTGAGCTATATCACCAGCTTATGTCCATATACAAAAAGAAAAGTCCTGCGCTCACTCCCATCACTCCTGAGCGGCAGCAACGACCACAGTACACATCATATAGTACGTATAAAAAAAAAACAAAGGAAAAAAAGAAAAAAAAAAAGTTACCTAAGTATATAGGTGTGTATATTAAAAAAAAAAAAAAATACCCCTGTCTCATTAGATATCTTTGCCAGAAGCTCAAGGAAGCAAGGTGAAGGGTCAGAGTAGGACCTGTCTAGGGGGGTCTGCCTTGACGTTGGCAGGTGGGCATTCCCTACAGTGGCCATTGGAGTAACTAAATGACCTCCATTTGTTTAATTATACATAGGGATTAAGGAGAGAGCGCAGGTAACTTTCTTTGGTTTTTACTATATGTCCATATAGCTGACAGATCTTTGACAGTTCTGCTTTATTTAGTAGATGTGTACTCAATTCTTTTTAAACTGAAGACCCTCTATCTTGTGGCAGTGTAGATTTTTGAATAACATGATATGTAGGGTTTTGCTATGTATCCGATCTATTGAACCGGTTTATTTACTGCTTACAGGAGACTTTGTTGGCTTGTGTTAAGTTTATGCACCCAAGATAATTTGGGCTTCCAACAGTGCCCTGCTCCCTTGCGCTAAGTAACCCCCTTTCCCAGCGTAGCAACATTGTATCGACCGATCGGTCTCACAGGGTTGGTTCCCTCTCACTTAGTCTTATGCTTTACATTTAGCTGGGCTGTATTGTGGGAATTTTGTCTCTTACATTGAGAGCTAGCTTGCAGATATTCGTATCTCTTCTACTTGTACTCAGGAATTTAATACTGCTTGTAAGTGTATGCTGTCACTCTCTAGGTATTCATAGGCACAATGTTCTTTAAAGTGTGCAGAGGTTGTCATAGGACTTTAAGTTAAAGGATTAATAAGTAGATTGGAAAATCCTGAATGGTTTTATTTATTCTGCATCTACAATTCTGTAATCCAGTGCTTTAACATTGGATTTTTTCCTAGACCTTTTGTAAATGAGATTTATAGAATGTAGTCAGATTTAAGGAAATACCAGTTAACCTTTTTGGGTCTGGATCTTTTTGATAGATGCACAGACGCAAAGTTAAATATACCCGATGACTTTAGTTTTACGCATAACCTGTCTGAAAACCATAGTGAAATACTTACCACAGGTGCCTCAAATAATGGGCTCCACTTTCTCAATAAGGTTTGAGCACGAAGGACAGAGGTTTTTAGTGAATTTATTCTATTAGTAAACTTACACTTGTTTGCTACATTGTTTTTTGTTGCATAAATAAAGTCTTTTTTTAGCCTTATCCTTCCAGACATTTTGTCTGGTAAAGGTCTTGTTTTCTGATCAGAGTACCACGCCTCGCTTGGTGCAGTGGCTGCTACTTTGTCTTTTTGACCTATCAAATGCTTACCATACAGAAGCTTTGGGGATGGGAAGTGCATGCACAGCTCTCTATGACAAGCATTTAGAGGAGTTGATCAGTGAAAACAATCTGACTGTTCTTACAGTTGAAGAGCCTTTCACCCTACAATGGAAACACTGCAATATCTCCTAAATGGAAATGCTCAAAATGTGAAGGCTACAATTAAAGGGCTACTGCACACAGACCACTTCAATGATATGAAGTCGTCTGGGTGTCTATAATGTCCCTTACGTTATAATCAAATGACCAGTCATAACGCAGCCAGTCGGTATCTGTAGAGCTTAAAAACTGAAACAATATCCTTAACAGTCACAGAGTTTGAATAGCTGCTTAAAATATCTATCTTTATAAATAATAGACTTCAAAATACAAACAGCACACACGTTTACACCGTGTCTTGCAAAGCAGAATTAATCATACATATCCTTTAATGTTGTGGCTGATCTGTGTATGTATGCATCTATACAGACAGATATCAGACATGATATATCAAAGATTATGTTAAGATATTAAAATGACCATCAGTATGCCATTAAGTAAATAAAGGGGAGAAAATCTGCATAGATTGAAAAGGTACCAATTCAAATAAACAAAGGAAACAAAACACAAGAACTTACTGTAGGATAATTATTTGTAAGATAACTAGCAAAAGCTTCTCTCTGATGGTTTGCTTGCATAGGAATTGAGCCATAGCTTCGCCAATCCTAGAGACAAAATTTAAAATCCACATAACTTAGTATAACATTTAGGGAACAAAATAGAAATTGTTCCGAAATAAACAATATGTGCAGTAGGTTTTGATACTTAACGCATTTCAAGCAAAAATGTAAACATTCCAAATGGCCGTAATAGCACATGGCAAAACCTCTTTTTTTTTTTTTAAATAAAAGAAAGAAAACCCACAAACTGATTCCAGAGGTGGAATAAGAGGCATTCCTCCTAGACCACCATCCAGAAATTAGAATATTCAGAGAAGGGTAGAAACTGGTAGGTGTAATGAGACAGGGGAAAAGTAGAAGTGCAAACATGATTCCCATTACTTTGTAAACCTAGCTCATATGCTAATGGTGCTCTTACAGTAGTGAAAATGAGAATGCAACAGTGTCTGGATCAGCAAAATAATCAAGCTGGGGGAACTTACATCTGTCATCCAATCGGGGACCAACGTATTAAACCCAGGATAACTAACTAATTTAGAGACATCATAGGAGACATGTTTCACGTTTGAGTGCATCTCTCCTTCTTCTAAATCTCCATCACTTGATTCTGTCAAAAATAAAAACCCATGCATACATTTAGTACTAAAGATGAATTAAACTAAAACGACCCAACCCAAAAAGAGGATTAATCTGCAAAAAATGGAAAGAGGCATTACACAGCTTGACACTTTGTTTACAGAGATGAATAACTAAAAATTTGTGGGAAGTTAACAGAGACCAAATATTTGACATACTAGACAACCAAAGGAATACGTACCTTTTCCATCGTAAAGGGAGAGCCCTGAATTCTCTAGTTCAGATTCTTTCAGCCACCCAGGAGGATAACCTAAATGGCGCATTCGATATATAAATGGGGGCAGGCAACTGTCAGACATGCCAAGGGCTTCTCGAAGTTCCTCGCTATAACAAATTGTGAATTAGGTCAAGAAAAGTGAAACTTAATATAAATTAAAAACAATAAAAACACAAATTAACAGCAAATAGAATTGTAGAAAAGGACTTTGGGACGGGGGAACGGACAAAACAAAACACTTAAAATTTGAGTCCCCCTCCCACTTTGTGCAGAACCAGCCATTTAGAAGGTGATGTCATTTACAATAAACATGATATTTTGGTTTGTTCAGCTTCCATTATTGTCACAGACTCCAGTTAAAATGAGAACTTGAAATCGCTTAAGTTGTCATGGTGCTTGGATTGAACCTTATAACCTGTAGGAATAGGTATACATGGGTATGGTGGTTAGGGAGTCCATATTTAAAGTGCATGATAGATCTGCTTTTCTTTGTGTGGCATGTCATAGCACTCCGCTATTGTATTGAATGCATTTTCCCCCCTTTATTTAGCAAAGATTTTCAAGAAATAAAGCACATACCGAAGAATGTAAATTGACAACCAAGATAGACTTGAGGTAATAAGTAAGCTAAACCCTTAAAAAAAAAAAAAAAGTGAACATACAATTGGTAAGAAATAATAAAAGCAGCATTAAAGGTTACTCATCCGGGTTTAATTAAAGTACAAAATACTAATGTTAACAGAGAACACCAAGGAGAGCCCGCATGGGGAAAGAAACAAGGCATAGCAGGAGTAGACCAAGTAAGAAATAAAAGAAAAGGAAATGCCCCAAACTGGAGAAAGAATAAAGAAAGGGGAGGGGTGGATGGAAAAAAAAATGAAATGTGGGGGATTGGAGGTATGGGCAGAATTATGAAAAGGACCAGCCATACCCACCCATCCAGTGTGGGCTTTGAAATTAATCTCCAAAAGAGAAAGGAAGAGAGGATGAGAATAAGTGTCAGTCCCCTTGGCAATATACAGGAGCAAAGGGTCCTATAGTTACGTACTTTTAGCAGATCTTTAACGTAAAGAGGCAGTAAACATTTACATATTGCAGATTTCCTCTACTATGCAATCCACTGCAGGAGAATAAGCAATTTACCAGATCTCCAATAAAGAGGGATGAGAGCCATTGCAGATTATGTAAGTGCTTTGCGATCAGCTAATGTTTTAACCAAGTTGAATAGTGTCTTTTTTTTTTTTTTAATAAAAAAATATATATATATATCCATAAAGTTATGTGTACTTTATATTCAATAAAATACTTTACATAACATTTAATAAATAACACCAAGGAAAGGATTTTAAGATGTACCTAATAAGTCCAGGTTTAAACCTGTTAAACCTCTCTTCTACTTCTTCAGCGTGGTACCTCTGCTGGTAATTCTGGTTACCTGCTTCTCCGCACGCATCCATAAACTCCTTTCTCTTCATGTTAATGTGTGCTTGATTTCGTGGCTGAAAAATAAATTCCAGTTGAACAAGCATCAGACTTTGCATTAGTATGCAATGTTATTAGTAAGTACACATCGTACATTTAACTGCCTGTTGCAATGTCTGAGATCCAAGCAAAGCAGACAGCTGACATTCAGCACCTTGGGCAGAAACCAGCAGAGATTACATGCCCAATTTGATAGTGGACTAACTGGTTTCAATGAGTAGTTAATCTAGGTCAGGAAACATTGTATTAACTCAGCAGTTCTAATTTCAATACCAGACATAGCTAAACTTGAGATAGCTATAAGAAAATCACTGGGGTTGCAGTTAAATAGAAATTAGGGGTGCGTATCACCAGATTTAAATTGTAGGGAATGAAAAGTGATTAACCAACTTGGATGTGAGGGAGTAGCAGTTCTTTGAATACGGATATGGTTCAGTGGCATGAAAGAAAGGTAACCAAAACCCGCTAATATCCAAGTTTATAAATCAAGCAATTGCCATCTGTGGCCCAGTGCTTTGAAATGCTGAAATATATACTATTCACATAAAATAAAAAAAATAAAAAGACAGCATAAAAGAGGCAAATTGCTCCTTCGTTGTCAGCAAACATGCAGACATTCAATTTGCTCATCCAATCCACTGCTTCTCATAGAGAAGCATTGAGGACAAGAAACAGATGAGTGGCAGGCAGCTAGCTAGTCCAATCAAAAGCTTCTCATAGGGAAGCATTAAAGCACCTGCTTCCATATAATCAGCATTTAAGGACATTCAATTTCAAACTGTCGTTGCTACAGAAACAGCCACTAGAGGGGTGTTTAGCCCTGCAATGTACACATCTACAGAAAGCAGCAATGTTTTACACTGCAAGACTAAAACTACAGGGCCACGGGATGAGGACAATTTTTCATTGAGATCAAGTGGGAATTCTTTAAATCCATGTGGAAAACATAAACCTTTGCAATAAACTGAAAAGAATGGCCTGTGCTTCCCAAAAAAATAAAATAAAAATATAATTTTTTTTTTTTTTAAATGAATCAATATTTCCATGAAAAGTCCAATTATAAAATGTTTTGGTCTCTTAGTAAATGGCTCTGGATTATTTATAGAGTTCATGCAGATGCATTTACCACTTTGTACATTTTTGCTTTAAGACACAAAGATTAGAAAAACAATTTTATGGCAAGACAGGAGGCTTCATATTTGCTTATCTTTCTTTACTGTAACTCCCAGCAGCAAACAAACAGTTAATGTTGTATGAAAAATTCAACCAATCATAACACATTACAGAAACAATATAGTGTCAGACTCCTCCCACTTCCTCTTTCTTTGCTGCTTGCCTCCCAGGTGAGTCTACTCCAATTACATTGCCTTACTAGTTGAAGTTTTTTTAATATATTTTATAATTTGCAACATGTACTTCACCTCAGCAAACTTTGTTTTTTTAATTTGTCACCTTTTTTCCTACACACATATCCTCATTTCTCATTTATTTGCATACTTTATTCAGTTTAGTGTTTTTCCCCCCTTTAAATATTTCGTCACTTGTGTTTCTTCACATCTTTATCCTTAACCGTTTGTTTTTTGAGTTTGGTTTCCCTTTTAAATTTTGGCGCCACTCCATGTTTGCATATACGGAGTTTTCTGCTTCAGTCAGCTGGCCGCGGCTCTCTCCTCAGAGGCAGAGCCGCGGCCCATTCTCGTCAATCTCATCAGCCGCGGACTCCATTTCCCATGAGCCTGCGGCTGCCTTTTCCCGCCTTACTCTCCTCCCGCCTACTCGCGTCTCCCTTGTGACACGTTTTTTCGCCGCCCTTTCAACGGCGGCGATCTCGCGGCGGCCATTTTTTCAGCCCCAGTGTTTCTTCCACGGATCCTGTAAACACTATCACGCGCAAGGACTTCATACAAACTTGTGGGTACATTTATTGCCTAGCTTGTGACAGGTAGGTTGCTGCCTTTCTGCCTCCACCTCATTTCATATGCGCATCTCATTTAAACGATCAGTATACTGATCTATTTCTCATCTGTTTTTTGCAGGCTTTGCTCCACACAAAGGGCCAAGCTGCTACAGTCTGGGTGAACCCCTCTCCCTAATTTTGTATGATTTGTAGTGTGGTTGACATTGTATTACTAATATAATTTGCCAATCCTTGTGTGGCTGACCATTCTTCCCTGTTGTGGGTGAACCCCACTTACATATTTAATACACAAACTGTGTAAAATATTTATGTGGCTGACACCACCTACTGAACACACTACTGTGTGAAATATCTGTGTGGCTGACGCCACCTGATTTATTTTGTGGGTGACCCCCATTCTCTCACTGTACATACTTTATAGCTGTTTTTCTAGTGGGTGATCCCCACCTCATTGACTGTACAATATCTATATTGTCCACCATCTGTCTAATAGGGTGACCCTCTATTAATTGCCCTTTAATATTTACAATTGTGCCAAGCATTTGTGGGTGACCCCCACTGTTTTTTGACGTCTCGTGGGTGACCCCCACCTTTCATATATTATAATTGAGTGGCCTCATCTTTAATTGACAACCCTAACACTTCTACTCTGTGTATATAATTTCATCTAAACAGTTTGCATATATTTTGAGACACATTATGTCAGACCGCCAAGACCCTGCCATCTCTGCCAAACTTAAAGAATGGCTTTTCTCCACTATCGCGGAGTCCATTCCTAAGGATTTGGCAGCCTACCATGAACGTACCACAGAGGTGCACCCCTCTACACGACAACCCTCTGATTCTGAAGATTCCCATATCTCCGGCCAAGACAGCGCCCCGCGCAAGAGACCCTGGAAAGGGAATAGCGCTACTGCGGGCAAAGGCAAAGCTCCTGCAAAGGTCATTAAACATTCTCACCCATACATTACGCAGGATGCTGCAGACCCTCTAGAGGGTTCTACTTCACGTTTAACTGGCCATATTTTATGTGATTATGACCCCAACTACTCTGATGAGGATCCCATGGTGAATGCGCCACAGGATACCTCAACATCAGAGTTCGTAAAAGAAACCTTCCCGGGTCAGGATTCCAAGAGTACCCCTCCATCTAAAGTGCCTGACTCAGACACCCTCCTGGATGCCTCGGGCCTTCCCTTTTTTGACCCAAGGGTGATTTGTCACCCGCGCTCAGCAGAATGGGCTACCCCGGACCATATTGCTAATTTCTGTAAAATGTGGCTTCGCAAGCCCCTCGAAAAGGAAATAAGAAACAAACTAAGGGCTGAATGCCCGAGACCAACGATTCCAGGCAAAGTTGCCTCTACCCCTGAATTCGACCCCATGCTTGTCACCTACTTGACGAAATCTGGTAAAGACCCTCGTAAGGTTATTGAGCAGGGTTTGAAAGCGACCCAAGACAAACTATTGGACATTTCAGGTCCTATAATTCAAATATTTAGATTAGCAGATGAGGCACTCACTAGCGGTGAACTTGATCCGCACATTATCAGAGAATGGGCGCAGAGAGCCCTATGCTTATTGGGCAATGCCAATGCGGCTATTTCAATTGAGAGACGCAAAGCGGCACTTTATAAAATCGATGCCAAATTGGTAGACTTGAGTACTAAGGAACTAGGCCCAGAGGCCGATGGTCTACGGTTCGGTAACAGTTTCATGCGAGAACTCTCCAAGCATGTCTCGGTCTTTACCACACTCAATAAAGCCCAGTCCTCCCTACGTAGGGTTTTCCACTCCCAAACTCATCGTTTTTCTGGGAGAGCTGGTCGCTCCAGGGGCCGAGCTACCAGTAGAGCAGCATTTACAGGCTACAGGCCCCTACCCACAGATTATTGGTCCACAGGATATACACGACCCAACCACAGACAACTATTCAGCACCAGAGGCTTGATACGAGGACATGGCTCTGCATCCCTGCGCGGACGCACTGCTTCAGGTAATGGACCTTGCTTATTTGAAACATGTACCAATCGCAGGTCGATTAACATTCTTTTTCCAACAGTGGAAACTACTTTCCCAGGATCTATGGATCCTTCATACAGTCAAAGGTTTCAAAATAGATTTTTTCACACACCCAGTGCAACACTTTCCTCCTCCATCTTTAGAGATGTCAAACGCAGACACTCTAACCTTAAAACACAGAAATAAACAAATTGTTACACAAAGGGGCGATCGAACCTTCGCCTTTCCCTTGCACCTTCCTCAGCAACATATTTCTCGTTCGGAAAAAGACGGGAGACCACCGTCCCATTATCAACCTCAAAGCATTGAATCACTTTATCACATACCGTCATTTCAAGATGGAAGGTATCCATCTTCTCAGAGACTTGCTCTGCGTGGGAGACTGGTTCTCCAGATTCGAACTCAAGGATGCTTACCTGACGGTCCCAATCGCACCAAGTCATCGTGCCTTCCTCCAATTCCTGTGGCAAGGCGACATTTGGCAGTTCACCTGCCTCCATTTCGGACTTTGCTCCTCCCCTTGGTGTTTCACCAAGTTAATGAAACTGGTCATGGCGCTCCTTCGTTCTCAGGGAATACGTTCCATTATATATTTAGACGATATCCTGATTATGGCCCAAGACCAACAATTACTTCGCAAACACACACACACACACGACCTCTGCCCTCCTTCAAAACCTGGGTTTTGTTATAAATTGCCAGAAATCAGATCTGGAACCATCTCAGATAGTCCAGTTTCTGGGTTTCCAAATAGATTCGGTTCAGGCAACTCTACAGTTGCCCTATTCCAAAATCAAAAACATAGAGAAAGAGATTCAAAAATTACTCAGTTCACAACGACCCCGGCTCCGCGACCTAGCACACATTCTGGGTCTCCTATCCGCATCAATTCAGGCTATTTTTCCAGGGCCCTTACACTACAGAGCAATGCAACGGCTGAAAACCTCCTACTTACATCGCTCGACCTCTTACGATCAATTCATTTCCCTAACGGACGAAGTTCTCATCGAACCTCACTGGTGGCTTCGCAATATGGAAGCCTGGAATGGGAAAGCGATTTTCAGATCTCAACCAGATTTTATTCTGGAATCCGATGCCAGCCTCTTAGGTTGGGGTGCTACTTGCGCCCAAACATACACAGGGGGTCTCTGGTCCCCATCAGAACAGGCACTTCACATAAATTGTCTCGAGCTCATTGCCGGATCCTTCGCGAACCACAGCTTTGCCAAGGAAGTCTCCAACTGCTCTCTGGTACTTCGGATGGACAACATCTCCGCAGTACGGTATGTAAACCGACTGAGGTTCCAAATCGAAACTACTGTCAGACCTCACCAAGGATCTGTATCAGTTCTGCTTAGACAGGAATCTGTCCATTCGGGCAGAATATCTCCCAGGACCCGACAACTTAGTCGCGGACTGGTTTTCACGTCACTGGAGGGATGCCAGCGACTGGCAATTAGATCCTCTCCTATTCCACCACATTCACCTATTGCGGGGACCCCTCACACTCGACCTCTTCGCGTCTCGGCTGAATCGTCAGACAGACGACTTTTTCAGCCGGTTACCAGACCCTCTATCTCTGGCAGTCGACGCCTTTCTCCAACCTTGGCCACGGAGCGGAGCCTATGCCTTCCCTCCTTTCTCAATGATTCAACGGACCCTCCACCGGGTCAAGTCACAAAGGGTCAGAATTGTGATAATTACTCCTCTATGGCGGGTCCAGATGTGGTTCCCCACTCTCCTGGAACTTTCAACAGACTATCCCATCCCCCTACCTCGCTCATTTCGGGTCCTCAGGAACCCAACGGGCGATTACCACCCGCTCGCCTTACAAGGCCATCTTCAACTGGTAGCCTGGACAGTTTCAGGGGAGCTTGGCATGTCGCAGGACTTTCAAGCACTGCTCAAACACTCCTGACACGAAAATCCCTGTGGGATTCATGGGCTCCAGGGACCAGACGAACCTACCTCTCCGCATGGCGAATTTGGGTCAGCTGGTGTCTGGAGAGGGATCTCGATCCCGTTTCAGCATCTCTTTCATCCATTCTAAATTTTTTATCATCACTTTTTGATCAGGGTAAATCATACCGATCGATTAATATTTTTCGTTCCGCCATTTCAGCAGGCTATGACACTATTGACAATTCCTTGGTTGGGAAACACCCTTCCGTGTGCAGACTTTTACGGGGCATTCGTTTGACGAGGCCACCCTCTGCCAAATACTCTAAGTTCTGGGATATATCTCGAGTCTTCGCGCTGTTGGAGTCCTGGCCCCCTAACGAGGCCTTATCCCTTTGCCAACTCTCTGCGAAACTGGCCCTGCTACGGTGTCTGGTGTCCTCCCGCAGAGTTTCTGACGTTTAAGCCTTTGACTCACACGCTGTCACCTTCGCACCAGATGGTGTCAGATTTACCATTACTAGGCGCACTAAGACAAATTCCTTGACTTTTTTTTCCCCCGTACTTTCCCGACAGGCCGGCTCTCTGTGTGGCTCTGTGTACCCGTTGTTACACTGAGAACACTGCCGCTCTACGTTCCCCTACCGGTCCCCTTTTCGTCTCTTACGTTAGACCTCATAAACCGGTCTCTTCCCCCACTATCGCTCGCTGGATAAGATGGTTGCTTACCCAGGCTGGAATTGATAGATCATTCTGAGCCCACTCCGTTAGGGGGGCGGCTGCATCCTCTGCCTTTCGCGCCGGCAGCTCACTGGCGGATATTTTGTCCTGCGCAGATTGGTCAAGGGAATCTACCTTTCAAACTTTTTATTTTAAACCAACACCACATGCGGCTTGTTCCATTATTCAAGAGTGTTAAAACAGCAAATATGAAGCCTCATGTCTTGCCATAAAATTAGGGATTATTCTAGCTTTCAGTGAACGAATAATCTAAATTTTATTAAAGACAGGAGGCGAATATTTTCCCTCCCTTCGTTCACTCTGGAACCCACCCTCAAGGTAAGTCTTCTGATCCATGCTTAATGTAAGATACCGTCTCTTGCATCTAAATTTGCAGGTATACGATTTGTTAGACTAGTAGATATGAACCTACATCACATGGTACTGACATGTCCTGTTTAACTCTGCCAGATAATCTGAGCTATAGTTAGAAGTAGGGGGTATAACTATATTTTTCTCTTGTCCAAGAAACCTTACTTTCACGAAGTCTCTCTTCTCTTTTAGTGTGAAGATCTCAGGTTATTTCGATCAATTTCACTTTACATGGTTGACTTCATTTCGAGTTAAAGCCTCGGAAAATGTTCCAGTTTACATGGTTGACATGGTTGCTACTGACCGGCATCACCAAGAAAGAGGAAGTGGGAGGAGTCTGATGACACTATATTGTTCCTGTAATGTGTTATGATTGGTTGAATTTTTCATACAACATTGTTAACTGTTTCTTTGCTGCTGGGAGTTACAGTAAAGAAAGAAACAAATATTCACCTCCTGTCTTTAATAAAATTTAGATTATTCGTTCACTGAAAGCTAGAATAATCCCTAATTTAGTAACAAATTGCATTAAAGGTTTCTATTAAATTCAGTATGAAGAATTTGTTTTGATTTATGTAACTATAGTCGTATGCATCACATCTGAAATGGGGAGGACAGTGTCAGTGCATCTCCATGTCCTTTTATATAATTTAAATCAGAAATGATAGAAAGCTATGTGATATTTACCACAACCTTGCAGTTGACGATGGGAACACAACCCCCCTCCCCCCAAAAAAAAACACAACAAACAAACACACACACAAACCCCCCCCCCACACACACACACACAAAACCAACAACTTTTCTTACATACCATATTTTACCATACTGCACAAAAAAGCAGACACAGCTTTTCGTAATGTTAATGTAATGCATGAAGCACAAAGCAAAAAGCCCCATCATTTTATTTTGCAATGCACAGGAGACGGACAGCAGACATTCTCTTAAGTAGTATATGACCGCTTACTTTTTGGCAGTCTTTCATCTGATGTTCCTCTGAACCACAATTGAAGCAGCATGGTTTTGGTCTAATTAAAACAAGAATGTTACACTAAAATAAATTAAGAAAAAGAACAAAAAAAATTTTCTATCCAGACTGAAACACCCCTGCAACAACGTTAAACAAATGGCTAAAAATACAAAATCAATAATAAAGCACATAACACTTGGACTACCATCATCTCAAAAACATTCCTCAGAGTAAGTTACAGCGTGAATAAATGTATGCACAAAAAACCCCCCATAAAATAAAAAAAAAAAAAAAAAATTGTTAAAAAGGGACACTCCAGGCACCATAAACATTTCATCACTGTTTTTTAACAGTTTAACACTGAATGAGGGTCCCTATTTTCTCATAGCCTGGCTCCCACTGGAGGCATTACCAAGGACAATATTACACTCTTCCTCAACCACATCAATTCAGGCCAACAATGGGCAGCTGAAATAGACTGACAGCTTTCAGCCAATCAGCACCACCCATTGTTGCTTGGCCCAATATTTCCTATTTAGCCAGGGCAGCACAGAGAGGGCAAGGCTGGCAAAAGCACTTGTTTAGTATTAAACCATATTTAAAAAAAAAGGTTTCACAAAAGGGTTGGGCCAGGGGACGTCAAGCACTATAACAACTTCAATGACATTAGTAACAGTGTCCCTTTAACCATAGACAAATATGTACAAATTAAACTAGTATTTAAAGTCATACTATAATTTGCACTTGTAAAACAGACAGATTTAAAGGATTTGTGCGTCACATTTGCACATACCTCCTCCTATACATTTCTGTGCCTTTTGTTGTTGGAGTGTTAAAAAAATAACTAAATCAGAGCATGGTGAGAAATAACTGTAGAGCAGTGTGGTTTAGTATTACACTGCCTGAAGTAGTTATTAAAATACATTAATATTCACTTAGAAAACACCAACTGGTTAAATTGATAATGTACAGTCTTGCCTGCCTTTGAACCATTAAGTTCTGGGATGGAATTTAAATGCTGATTTACCTCTTTTTTATTCTAATAAGTCCTCTTCAAGACCAGAGAACACTGGATACATTCAGACTATGTACAAAGAATATTTAATTTTATCCTTAGAAAACAAGAAAAAAAATGTTTCTTACAAACCTTTTTGCCTTTACTTGTATTTCTTGCCCATCTAGAGACACAATCTGTGTAAAAACTTGCTGGTATCTTTATTGAAATATATTAAGGGATTTTACTTAAAAAGGAGAATTTGAAGAAAAACCAAATACGGAAATATATATATGCACATTCTTTCAGGTAAGTGTGAATTGCTTGTGTTTGCATTTCTATTTTAAAACTATAAAACATAGAAAAGGAAAATTAAGAATTAAAAAGGCAAAACATGAAAACACAACGGAATAAGAGTAAATTAAAAAAAGATAAAGTGTTAATTCATGGTAGATTTTATCTGCAGCTTATATATTAACAAAAATATTTGTGAGAAACAAGATGTGATTCAGATTTGAATTTATTTTTGTATGTATATAAGCTTAGATACATTTTATTCATCTTTATTAAATACTCACATTTCAGTGAATTTCCAATGCAGTTAAAAAAAAAAATATATACCAAGACAGTAGGGACTACTTTGTCCAGGTATATTCCCCAAGCTTAACAAAAGGCAAGTACACAACACCGACGCAGCCCCCAGGCAGATGAAGTACCAGGAGCTGAAAGGATTTACTGAATGAAGATGGTGGCTGTAAGACAGATTCAGGTAAGTGAAACCCCCTTTCCCTGCACCCTGTAGCCACAGGACACCAAGCAGAGCAGTCACCGTCAGGGGCATTCACAAAATATGCAAAGACGCCAGAAGATGACAGAGCTGCTTTAAATACCATAATATATAAAAAAAAAAAATAAAAAAAAAAAAAAAGGTGCAGCATCTAGCATATACACTATAAGACAAAAAGTATGTTGCTGGTACTTGAACAGCGCATTACAAGACCATCAATATGTGGTTTGTCCCACCCTTGCACCATAAGCAGCATTCCGTTTAATATTCTGGAAAAGCTGTATGCTGGATTATTTTGGAGCATTGCTGTTATTCTCATTTAGTAAGGTGTGGTCAGGCCTAGTTTGTGCAGGTCAGTTAGGTCTTCCACCTTGACTTCTAGACCAGTAGCATGCAGAAAATCAGAAGGCTCTATGCATTAAGAGGTCCATGCCAGTAGAATGAAGGTACCTGGCTCAAAATATAAAATTCTGCCCCGGTCAGATGATAGAAAGCAGACCGGTATCATTTGACTGGCGTTTGCCAAACCAGAACCATCTGTCACATTGTCAAACAAACGCGCGAGTCATCACTGGGAATCAGGGAATGCATTTCTATTAGTAGAGTATAGTGGTGGCAAACTTTACACCAATCTAGCCAAGACTTTGTGCAATGTGCATGTTGGCCATTTTTTACACTTTTTGAAGCAAAAAAAACAAATAAAAAAAAAACATCCTAACAAAACAATTAATCACAGCATGGCAGCATAGCCAGAACATACTCCAAAACATGTGTCCAGCAGGAGTATTTGTATTTAATCTGTTTAAAATATATCTGCTTCAGAATAAGCCTAAGCGGTTTGACTGATGTGCTGGATTATACACTACTATCACCACTCAGCCGATCGATCTATGCTATGAATTCCACTTCAAAATAATATAAACTACAATGGACTCAGGCTGCTCTAAGCAGGGCAGAATTTTGCCAGATTCACCTTTTTGCAGTTTCCACATACCTTTGGCTACACAGTGTATATACACATGTATAGGAAGACTGAATTTATCACAAATAAAATGATTACCACTGAAAAGGTGTAAGTGAAGCTTCTTATTAGGATACTTTGGAATTTCCCATCCATCTGTCAGCTGCGGGTTCTCATTTAATAACGGCTGTCCAAGCTTATCCAGGCAGAAATGAGTGAAATACAGAACATTTCCAACAACCTGCAAAACATAAGACCTTCATAAACTAATGCTTGCTCATCATGTCATTACATAGCAAAAAGTGTATATATGTGTGCAATGTACAATAGGAATGAATTGCTCTGGATTTGGAAAGTCTTCCAAATTAAAGGCCATTGAAGTCTGATAACAGCATAGAAAATTAGGGTTCTATTCTAAAGCATGCAAAAATATCTGTGAAGGGCACATCGGGTTGAAATACATGTGTGTATATATTGACCCCACGCATAAATGAAATTTATGAATAAAAATGAAGGAGTGAATGAATAAAGTGTAGGACCAACCTAAACGGTTTGTCTTGACGTGGCAGGTGGGTTTATATCTAATGACCATTGGAGTGAAACTAAAAACCTCCATTTATATAAATATGCACAGGGATCTGGAATAGTGCGCAAGTAACTTTTTATTGAATAAAAATGAAAGCGAATAATGTGTACTACATGTGTGATATGCATGTGACTAGTAAAGTGCTTCAAAACACTTGTCATGACAGCACTGCAGTATACATTATCCTCACAAACCCAAGTGATATTTCTGTTTTTTCCGGTTTGTTGCCGGTCACATGGTGGTTGGGACATACTTAGACTGCAAATATTACAGGCTATAGTGATGGCATTATGGGTTTTGGATATCTTAGTCTCCTTGGTTCTTTACGATGGTGACTTAAGCCAGAAAACCACATTCAGTTTTTACATATAGACTTTATGGTTCAGTTCCTATGAAATAGTGGACAAAAGTGCATTTGTTAGGAGTGTGTATATCATAGCTAAAAATGATCTCCACCTATGTTTGATCAGACCAGCACTCCATATAAATGTAGTTGGTTTAAGGATCAAGATGCCTGCCTGTCTTAAAAAGCTACATAGCTATGCAGTGATTAGTCTGAAATACAGCATCAATTTCCCCAAAAAGATGGAAACATTTGTGTTTGTAAGAGCCTTAAAGCTAGGAAGGCAGTAGAAATTTCTCTGACGAACCACTTCAAGAACGAAATGCTTAACAGCACCTTCATTGTTGAGTTCACACAAAATGTTCCTCTAAGATAGGTTTCCCTCCCCCCTCCCCTCAGGTGAGCTTTCTCCCACAGCTCTTCGCTTTATTCTATTAAGATGCAATTACCTCACATTTAGAGACCTGGCAGAATTTAATGAGCTATTCTCTAAAGATTAGGAAGACTTATTACCGTTATATTCATCATTTCCCCTTTTCTTTCGACATTGTCAAAACCCCAAAAAAAACAAAATAAATTTAAAAAAATAGTATATATATATGTATGTATATATATATATATATATATAAAACTCTAAAAAGGTTATGGTGAAAAAAATAAAATAAAAAAAAATAAATGTGATTGAAAACCCCTTCCACCTGAAGTCTCTGGACAGTTAAATGACACTATGGTGCCAGGAAAACAAACTCGTTTCCTGGCACTATAGGGTCTTTGGGTCCCCCCCCACCCTTAAGGTCCCCCTCCCGCCGGGCTAAGGGGAGGAGGGGGTTAAATTCTTACCTTTCTCCAGCACCGGGCTCACTCGGCGCTGGGGACTCGCCTCCCTCTTCCGACGTCATCCTGCTGAATGCGCATACGTGGTAAGAGCCGCACGCGCATTCAGTCCATCCATAGGAAAGCATTTCTCAATGCTTTCCTATGGACGCTGGCGTTGTCTCATTGAAAATCACAGTGAGAAGCGCAGAAGCGCAGAAGCGCCTCTAGCGGCTGTCAATGAGAACCACTAGAGGCTGGATTAACCCTAAAGTAAACATAGCAGTTTCTCTGAAACTGCTATGTTTACAGCTGCAGGGTTAACCCTAGATGGAACTGGTACCCAGACCACTCTTCATTGAGCTGAAGTGGTCTGGGTGCCTTTAGTGGTCCTTTAATACACTGTTAAACAAAAATCTGCACACCAGTCAAGAGACTTTTTCCCACAGGAATTACAAATTTGCAGTGATGTTACTACCTCAAAGGATTTTGGGTGGGCATATGCAAAGTAGTTTAACAATCACATTTTTGCCTCATTCCATGTTAAACTAATTTGCATATGCCCACCCAGAATCCTTTGCGGTAGTAAAATCACTGCAAATTTGTGATTTCTGTGGGAAAAGAAAGTCGTCTGACTTGAATGGTGTGCAGATTTTTGTTTAACATTGTAATAATATATATATTAAAAAAAAACAAACAAAAAAACACACACACAAAACCCTTCTAAGTATACAGTTTTTATTGAATTGTCAAGAGAAAAAAGAAAAAGAAAAAAAAAAAATGAATTGCCTGGGGGGTAGCGCATGATCACTGACTGAGGCATACATGCTCTGTTAGAGCTCCTCAACGAAAAATCTGAATTTCGGCCAAATTTGATCCAAATCTTGACCAATTTCAGTTTGTAACCTGGATATACACAACGGGTAAGCTGCAGCCCGCCAAGTGATTCCTCTGGGACTGCAAGAAACACTGGTAGCATAAAGAATAGCCCCCAAGGCCTACCGGCAAGATCTAGGCGAGGGGTACAGCCGACCCTCTGCCTGATCCTTCTCTTCTCTGACCCAATGCCTTGTGCCTCCCCCCTCACCCCCACTGACGCTCATCGTGTTGTTACTGCTGCACTTACCTTGTGCTACAAGTAATATTCTTGCCGCACCTCCACTTCACTGCAAGATGGCTGTTGGCTTCACGTGCTGCTGTACAGGGCGAAAACCTGCATCAATGGCCCCATCACAGATCGCTGGAGCATAGTTTGCACTGCCAGACAAGCTTTTCCAGGGCTTCTGGCGTAAGCTGTATATGCACCAGGGAGCCTCTATCTACACGAGAAGTAGCATGCTGAAAAGGAATGGATCCCCTCAGGGCAAATCAAGGCCACAAGTGACTGTACACCCTGTTGTCTGCCCTCTAGGGCCGAGAGCGACACAAAGCTACGCCTCTATGCACCACACAGGTCAAAGATGGCACACTCCACCTCGATCTTCCTGCAACCCCCGGTGGGGGAAAGACTTGGTGCTAGAGAGCTTCCAAGTCTGTGACCCGAAGCAAAAGATCTCCCGCAGATAGCGGACATTAACACCTGGATCCCCAGACAGGGGAAAGACTTGGTACCAAAGAGTCCCAAGTCTGTGGAATATGGGTGCTGGCTCGCTCAATGGCTCAAGCTGGATGGAGGCCCAGCTCTGGCGAATCGGTGCTATCCGCGTGTTCACTTCTCATTATGTACCAACCCTGCCACTTCTAGGCATCGGCTGATGGGAGCGATGGGTCCACAGCATGAGAAAGGCTTAATTATATGCTGGCAGATGTCATCTGATCTCGGCCATATTTACTGAGCAACCCGTTTATAAATTTTTTTTTTTTTTTTTTTAATTTTCATTTTTCTCTCACTACTCAACTTTTGTGTGGTGCAGTGATGAGTATAAGAATCTACTTTCAGTGGTTAACACACAATCCAACGTTTGATTTAATGGCGGTTTTTATGTCATCTCCATGTCTAATAATTATCGCCAGGATGTTGTGTTCAGTCTTAACTCAGTAGTGTAGACAAGCTAGTTTTAATGTGCATGAGACCTTACCTTTTATAAAATTGTGCTATAGCTTTGTATGCATGTTTATTTTCTGTGCCGAACGATGTTGTCGTGGCATAGTTGACCTGTCTTATCTTGTGCACAACAAAAAAGGAATTGCCTAATTTTAATGGTTTTAATATAAAGTACAAGAGCCTTTTTTATTCAAGAAACACTTACCCCTTCAGGTACACATAAAATATAAAGTACAGATTCAATTTTTTAAAAAGAGAATTTAATGCCGCTATAGAAGTACGTAGTAGATCTATACATCCATTTGGCAGTAAACACAGAGCACTTGAAATACTACATGAAAGTACTATTTAAAAAATTACCCCCCAAAAAAACTCCACATTGTACCTACAAATAAAATCCAAACAAATGAACAGTTTTATAAGACATTAAAATAAAATACTCACACTGAAGGCATCTTTTATTTTCTTAATTGTACTGCCATTAGAACACCCGCTTTCTTCCAACAAAATACTAGATGGCTAAATGACAATGAAGAGAAATGAAAACCTACTTTATTTGCTAACCATTTTTAGGCAGTGGCAAATATATTACTTTCCATCATACTAGTTGTACATATTAATTTTAATGCAAATACGGATTACCTGTGGCTTGATATTAAAAGATGTTTTCTCGGGATTAGATTTCTGGCTCTCTTCATACTTTTGAACTAAACTTGTTACGAAATCTTCAACTTCTTGATGATATTGCCTATGTAAAACCCAATAACATGGAATTAATTTCAAAACATATCAATTTGAAAGAGACCAACTAGTTTGTAATACTTTTGGAAAACAAACAATACCCCCTCCTACACACACACGGCCTGATTGGGTGATGACCAACGATTACTTCTGCAGAGGTTTCTGGACAATATGCCCTAAACAAGGATCACCAAATCTACAATTTGACTGAGCATCATAGAATTGTAGTTCATGAGCATCTCAAGGGCTAAAGGTTGACATACACAGCTTTATATTAATGGCGTCCAAACCTGACTGTCCAGCTTTTGGGTTGAAACTTTCTGCCTCAGTCTTCCAAATATGAATGTCCATTTTCACAATCCTCTCTTTTAGATAAACTTTGATTACTTTAAGAATCTAGCACTAGGCAGTCAGATCTGTATACTTATAAATTCCTGAAGTATTATAGTCTACAAGGTTTGCTCTTTTTGCTACAACGAAGGACCCAATATGTTTTGCAGTTTTAGCCTTTGCGATACACGAATAAGCATTTGTGGTTTCACAGTAAGATGTATTGGTAAGGAAAGGATTCTGTACAAGGTGCAATAAAAATATAAGAACTAAATTTACACTTGTCATTTCCAACTCTCCTTTGTCTTTTTTCTCTATGTTGAGCAGAATCGCTAGCAAAATTGTAGACATTGAATTAAATATAAAAACAAATATGGTCCCTTTCCTCACCCATCAATCAGATCTAAACATAGAAGGCTACTCTAATGGCACAGCTCTTTAAGCTTACAATTGAATGAAAGAAAAACAAAACAGAGAGGGATGGGGGGCATGCTAGAGTACATGAGCATGCATGGCCCTTAATGTAACACACGGAACAATAACATTACAGCTTTTTCTTACCAATTAAGCATGAAATTTGTTAGCATTTTTCCTGTGATAAACTGAATGCAGCACTTTATGCAAAAACTGAACTTCTAAAAAGGAAGTTACTTCTCTGAAAGCAACAGTTCCTGGATCCAGTACACACTATTAAAGTGTTTAATGTGATAAAATGTCCAATGGGTGTAGAAGAAACAAATTACGTGCAAGCAATATACCATTTTTCCACAGTGTGTCAATGAATAACCTGTCTCTCCTTTCATAGTGTCATTCACGTGCATGTGGTCTCACAATGCCCATGCACAAGCATTGGGGGAGTTAAAAGAAATGGACTTTACATACTCTGGCTGTGCAAGGATAACCTGAAACATTGTGTAGGAGTGTGTTTAAATTATCAAAGCATAACCAATAGAACTTGGATACATATAGTGTCAAAAGGGGCAGTTTCACTTTACGGTAAAAGGTCAGTCTAATCACCATCATAATTTTGTATAGTTGCAAGTTTGATAGTGCTAAGAATACCCTGCAAGTGATAGATAAAATAGTTGCTTAGAACGGCAGCAATCTACAAAGGCCACAAAAGCAATAAACTGTCAATTGGGAAGCCCGAAATTTCAGGTACGGCTGCCTGATATTAGTTTTGTACATACTGTTCAAAATATGTACACACCACATGCACAGCCTGGGCTACATTTTCTCTCCACCCTGGTAAAATAGACCACAAAGAGGTGTGGGCAGCCTTCATAAACAGCATATACATACACACACCCCAATCAATTTTTTGCTACACAATTACATTTTTGCATTTACTTGTAATTGCCTAGATATTACATAATGAATACAGGGTAGTCTCTACCCATAGTTTGTGGTTAAAGGAACACTGTCTTACGGTGCCTTGCGTGTTCCTTTAAAAAGGGACACGGTAGGCACGCTTTCATCTCATTAAAGTGAGATTTGTCTGGCGTTCCCTGGTGCGGTCCTTCCATTCAGCATTAAACCCCTGCAGTGTATCCTCCTGTGCTGTTTCGGCAGAAATATTAGCCTACGAAGCAATGGGTGCTTGTAATTGGCTTTTAGCCTATCACAGCATCCACTGTTGGCATTATTATTATTTTATTATTTATATAGCGCCAGCAAATTCCATAGCACTGTAGGGATGTCTAGAAAGAAGTGTGAAATCTCTGCCATAGCCATTACTCCAGTAAGAGATGGGCTATGAGTTTCCAGGGACCTTATTTAGTATTTAAACTGCTTGAAAATCATTTACACAGAATGCCAGGGGGACTCCAGGCACTATAATGCAAGGAGATTAAATATAGTGCAGTGATGGCTAACCTTGACACCATAAATTGTTTCTGGACTACATTTCCCATGATGCTCAGCTAGCTTCTAGAGTCTGAAAGCTAGCTGAGCATCATGGGAAATGTAGTCCAGAAACAATTTATGGTGTCAAGGTTAGCCATCACTGTTATAGTGCCTACTCCACTGTCCATTTAAAGGGACACTATAGTCACCGTGACCACTTCATCTCAATGAAGTGGCCCTGTAGTTTTAAGCTTGCTATTGCAAACTTTGCCATTCGATCAAACAGCCACTACAGGTGTTTCTGTTCAAATAGAGTAAAACTCTGCTTTTTCTAACAGACGATCTCATTTTGCCAATTATGCACAATGAAAAAGCACTAGATTAGCAGAGATCATCGCTCAGGATGCCCTCAGCCATGGAGGTGTGTTGGGCTGAAGAGAGACCACTGAGGCATGGGAGAAAAAGCAAGTATAAAATATGCTACAACAATAGTGATGTCCCGAACAGTTCGCCGCGGACAGCTTTAAGTGGAGCATCCATTTTACATTCATTGTGAAGCTGCATTCTTAGTGAGCTGTCCAGGAGGTGGGAGGGTCTGGGAGGGAGGATCTGCTGCTGATTGGCTGGAATGTGTCTGCTGACTGTGAGGTACAGGGTCAAAGTTTACTCAATGATGAGTCCGCGGCGAACCGTTTGGGACATCACTATACAACAATAATAAAAATAGTTACAAGCTTCTAACGCGTACTTACTTTGAAATTACATGGTTCATAAATAAGATCTGCAACAAAGGTCCATCTAATTTATCATCCACATCGAGTCCACTAAAAATAAACGAGAATTATAAAAGAAAACCATTATTTGAAATAACCTGTAGCAATAACACACCAGTCAGTCTAACGCTTCTGTGACAATTCAACTCTATGCATGAGTCAAATAAATTTCTGAGGTTTATCAAATTATGCAGTTCAACATATTTGTCTGCACTCCACTTAAAGCTGTATTTGATAGTCATCACATATTTTATGATTTCCCATCACAAGTGTGATTATGTAATTTGTATTTACTGACAGACATATGAAATTAACCCTCAAATTAAACATTTATAGTATAACTAGAAGAAAAACAAGTCTATTCTGTACTAAATGTACATGGAAACAAAAGAGCAGCCCTGAAGTCTGGAAAATATTTAAATAAAAGACGGCCCTCGCCAAAAATAAGAACTGATGCATGGGTTTCAGCAATGCATATTTATTGGCTCCCTTTTAACATTTAGAAATGTCTGTTATTTATGGCCTCCCCTTTTCCATATTACTCAACTGCAAAATATCCTGCTACATTATATATACACACACACACATACAATATTGAAAACAATGTAACAAAATGTGAATTTCGGGTAGCAGTTGGACTCCTTTACCTTGGTCTGCTGAGTATGGAGAGCTTTCTTCTGAGTTCATCATGTGAACAATTTGTTAATGAATTTAACCAGTTTATGAATGAAATGGTAGACAGAAGGCATGTCCTGTTATTGGACACTACAAGAAGCCCCCCCACAATCATATGACAGAGGAAGGGGCGGTGCCATAGTAAATATTGGCTATTTACTTCACTGAAAAAATAAATATGTGCATGCAATGAAAGGAGAATCTACCCATGGAGACACTGGAAGTAAAACACAAGCTATAGTTCGCTATGGGGACTGTACCTGGCGACCATCGTGCAAAGCAGACAGTAACTGCTGCTGCTGCTGTCTGGGCACACAGAGCCCCAGGCTGCCTGGCCATGTCATTACAGAGTATCAATATGTGCTATTGGTAATGGAGAGTGATCACTGTGAGGGGGCAGCTACACGGGCCCTCCACCCCCGGACTAGGGGCTCGGGGCAGGCTTCGTTTCGCGGTATGTACAAAGGATATTATCGGCTCTCAGCTGGTTGATGGTCTCCTCACACCGGGCGAGCTGCTCCCGGATCCCGCCAGACTCCTCTTCACAGTCCTCGGCTGCCTCAAACCGAAGGTGGACGGGCTGCGTGGTTAAATCCCCGTCTAACTGCTCGAACAGCTCACTGTCCCCGAACTCCACCTCCGCCATCTTTCAGCCTTCTGTCGGAGAGACGTACCATAGAGATTTGAAGGGGAGTGCAAGGCGTGACGTCCTCGACGTAACATCCTCAGGCGCCATCTTGAGTAAGGTCAAAACGCCCTGAACCCGATTTCTAGCGAGCATTTAGAATAGTGTAGCTGCTGCTGACCGTACGCAGAGCCCCATAAATATCATTGGTTGGCATGGCTCATCATTCAGATATGCAAAGAGGGCTTATTCACTAAAGTAGCATTTGAAGAGTACTCAGTATAGTTAAAGTTTAGGCCCAACTGATCATTCTGAAAATAGAATTGACTGGGAGAATTTCGTTAACCTAGTTGCTTTAGTGTAAAACAGGTAATTTATTACAATGAGGATTCAAAGTGAATTTCAACTTTTAGGCCAAAGTAGCCAAAATTTAAACATAGCTGTCTTTTTAAAATGAGCGATTTTGTCCTTAAATTTGAAATTCGCACTCAATTTAGTAAATAACTCTGAACTATTGAGGGCACTATAGTGCTGGTAAGGCCGTTCAGGTCCCTGGTACCCCTCTTATCGCTCTGAAATGTTGCTTTTTACTAGTCTTTTCTGCCATGTTGCACCGTTCTTGCAGCAGCTGACCCTGCCTCCATTGCAGAGATCGTGAATCTTCCCCATAGAGATGCATTGAACCAATGCATCACTATGGGCAATGCTCAGCTCCTTCATGCAAAGTGTGGAAACGCTGAATGGCAGTGCCATACTGACACAAGAAGCATCTCTATTGGCTGTCTGAGTTACTACCACTAGAGGTGTAACTAGTCTGTAACTTAAACGCTGTTTTTTTTTCCCAGACAGCCTTTACTTTGAAAATCCTGCTGGGAAAGACTATAGCCACCAGAACCTCTACATTAAGGTAAAGTGTCCATTTAAGAAAAAGGTGAAAGCATAGCTGACTTACAGATCCCCCCCTAGTTTGGCTATTTTGAACTTAAATTTGAAATTCACTTTACTAAATAAATCTTTTACTATCAACTTAAAATAAAAGCAAATTATTATCCCATTGTACAGCGCTACGGAATTTGTTGGCGCTATATAAATAAAATAATAATAAACAAAGCATTACTTGAATTCACCAGAAGCAATCAAAAACACCAGTCAGCATAACATCATGAATTAAGGCATTACCTTTGATCAATACAGCATTGATTAAATTTTAAATAGGTTATACATGAAACCTGGCCTCAAGACACAAATTTGTTTGTTGATAATCCACCTATTGTACCTTTTAATAAATTATTTTGCAGAAAATTGCTTGTAGTAGTAGATTCAATATAGGCTATTCTGGTACTCTACATTAACAGGGTAATTAACTATAGAGTAAATCCAAAGTGAATTTAAAAATTTAGATCAAAGTTAGAAAGCTTTTCCATGTTAATTGTATTTCTTGGCCTTAAAGTTAATATTTAGTTTGATTTCTTAGCAACTCTCACTGAACAACTTTGCATATGTTGATATATGGGTGTAAACTATATCCATGTGCTAACAGACATGTTTGGTACTGCAGAATCATAAAAATGCTGTGTTGTATTAATCTTCAGGGTTATGTGTAAATAGTTCCTTGTTATGAAAATGGTCTAAAGTAGTAAGAGTGGAGATGTAAAAAACAAAACAAAAAAGCAGGCACATACCATTTTAAATTCTGCAGCTTTTACACATTAAATCTTTGTAGAACACAACCTCCCCCCCCCCCTCCAATTACCCTACATTTATCTCAGCGTAACTGTGAATTAGTATTTAACTACAGGCAGCAATATGCCCATTAACAATTTTTAATAAGTTAAAAGCTAATCAAAAAAGCCTAGTTAGGATTTTATAATGGTAAAATTATTCAACTCAAAGAAATGATAATATGATTAACTTAATTGTGCAGGTCCCCACACAGCTATGTTATGCAGAACTAATATTTCAATAAAAGAGAGCAATATATATGTTAAATTGCTCTCTACTATCGATATATATATATAGATAGACAGATAGTGGAGGTATCGAAATATAGATAGACAGATAGTGGAGATAGGGTCTGATCTTGAGAAAGACCTGAATAGGTCAAAACATTGATCATTCTTTTTTGCACAATAAATAGAAAACAAACGTTATTAAGTCCAGGAGTGCACCTTTGCTTCATTTATATATATATATATATATATATATATATATATATATATATATATATATATATATATATATATCACGGGTCTGCACCCTGGCAGAAGTCTTTTTTGGCTACATACAGGTAGAGTGCTGAACTTATCACTTTAGTGGAGGTAGGGTTTATGTTGAATAAAATATTCATCCAGTGTGACATTTAATTTATATAAATAGAGATCTCAAAACACATTAACAAACAGAATAAACAAAATTTTATTAACATTCAGGCCAGGTAAGGAGAAACGTGTTCATAAACATTTCACAACATCTTTCTGTTCAGAGATGACATTAAAGTGGGAATTACAGGTAATGAGAAGAGACAAAGTTATATATACTTTTGAGTCACCTGCTGTTTTACAAATCTGGAAAGTAAAAACTTCTAAACTAAAATAGTTCCCTACTGTTATTTAACAATAATGTAAATGGCCTTACTCTGATGACATCACTAACACCAGTATCACTGATATATTTACAAAAATGATTTGAATAAGTTAAAGTCAATGCAACATCCATGCAAGCTTGAATTCCAGCTTTTTGGTTACAACATGAAGTATTGATAAGTCCAGAGTGGTAAAGACTTTTAAAACATCTTGTTTTATTTTTGCTTTTAAACTGTATCCATTCCCCTCATTGACGATGTGAACCCCAAGCCCATTCCTCTCTGGGTGTGGGTCTGTGATCTTGCCATTTCATACTGTGCATCAAGATTTCGAAAGACCTCTTCCTGCTGCTTGAGTGTTGTAACACTTTCAGAATCAGCTATGCTAGGCCCAGGCTCATCTTCACTCTAAGAAAAAAAAAAAAAATAATTATATATTTTTTTACAATAAATAGATCAGTTACATGCACACTACGCATCATAAGGGCTACAGCTCATTGGAGTGGGCAAGGGCTCTAAGTCTATTGACTTGTCCCCTGGTTTTCTGTCTGTTTTGGAGCATCCAGAACACAGCTCCTCAGTAGCTGCACAGATAATAAAAAAATACTATTTGTTCATTAACAAGCGCTAATCTTTTCAACCTTGGATAGCAATGATCGGCTTAAATGCTGGCGGCAGAGTGGAAATCCACCCAGCCTGAAGGGCACACAGTATATATACTATGTATTTCAGTAAATACAATTTTCCATGTCATATGATGTTTTGGTCAAAAATATAGAGAAGACAAGAGATTGTAGTCACGGTGTAATATGAAAAAATAACAAAGGGCCCAGAATAGGATGATGGCAGACATCACCTTTGTTAATTACAGTTCCAAACATCAAATGTAATACGTTAATAGTTGTAGGTAAAGTACCAAAAACAAATTAGAATGTGCAAATAATTATAAAATCAAGTGTTACCACCAAAGGCAAACTCAGAACAATTGTGTATAAATGCAGCAACCTACAAGGACCTCTGATATATTAAATCACCACAGCAATAAACACAATAAAAGATATAGGTGCGCAAACAATCCCTTTAAAAAAGTGTCAGTGCAGGAGATGTTATGGATCAGTGTCAGTGTTCTGGATCCAACGATCTCTAGGGTCTGATCCTCCCTGGGCCTGATAGTCTGAAGTGGTACTATAACCACTCCACAATTGTGAGCATTTCATTTAGAGCACCACATTTTTTACTCTATTCTGGCTATATTGCACTAGGTCTGTGTTTATGTATTATAGATTTCTGAGACATGCTTCATAAGGAGAGTGCAAGTATACATTTTTGTCCTCTATACTCTTTCACAGTGTGATATTGACAGAACTATTTGCTCACTAACAGATATTCATGTGTATATCTTTGGGTATTCCAGATACTTTGTCACTTCTTAAAGGGATTGTTTCTTTTATTGTAAAGGAACATAAATGTAGGTCTATTCATTAAATATAGTTGTGGCAAATTAAACTTTTTTTTGTGGTTGGGGGAGATACGTGAGGAATGCATAAAATGCTGAAAGTTCTGGCATTCTGTTTTGCAAATTGTTTTAACGCATTCCACCACACTGATTCATGGACAGAGATCCCCAATAGCATTCAAGGTTAAAATAGTTGACACTGCACTCTGCTTTCACTTTTTAGTGTGGTCTACCTATAAGCACATGCAGAAAAAGATTAGTGAATGTACATTGGAGTGCCTCCCGCAAACTACTCTGATGCAGCATTGAAGCATCTCCATTTGTTCCAGATGAATTGCACACTCTTTAGGATCCCTGATATTTTAGGCAGATTATGCAGTAGAGCCATCTGTGTGAATGTAAAACAGCACTTATAAATACCCTCCCACACATGTGACCCGAAAGTAACAAGTCATATGTAGTTGGATGAAATAACTAACAATAGTTTTTTTTGGTTACATGACACTATTAGAAGCTCAGCTTTGATGAACAGGGGAAAATACATTGTCTGAGAGAAATAGAAAAAAAGAAAACTTACCTTTATGCCCATTAATTTTCTAAATTTTACATTTTGGTCCTTGTTTCCAAAATTTAATTTTTCCCAGATTTCTGCAGATTGAGATTTATCCTATAATATCAAATAAAGAAAATTCAGAGGTTAACGTCATAAGATTTAGAGTGATATACTAAAATCTACATTCTCACACAAGTATTACAGATACTCCAGGGAACAACACTATTCGTGTAATCCGTAGGTTAGGGTTAGCGTTCTCAGTTTTGTTATGGGATGTCTTTAAGCAGGTTTCAATATTATGACGTGAGAAAGCCATCACTTTCTCCAAACTGTAAATGTACTACACAAAATACATTTTAAGTTCACTACTCAATGATATGGTTTTCTCAGTAGCATATCACTGTAAATTGCTCATTGTTTACTCATATTTCTGTGTCATTTGACATGTCAGATTCACTGAAGCAAAGGCATACATTTTTGAGTTGACACTAAAAACAGAGAGAGTCTTTGTAATCTTCCCGGCTTCACTTTCTCAAACATGCATGATATGGATGAAGGATCCTATCATTTACTTAGTTCTCGTTTTTTTATTTTACATATATTTCATAAAAAAGGAGAACCGTGCTCTACTCCTCTTAAAACAGCTCTCTAGTTAGGGAGTTTATGATTATCTCTGCTCCATTTGTTTTGAGAACTGTTATGCAATGTTCCACCATACAGCACCCAGGGTTATGAATTACTCTCAGTAATCTTGCTTATTATATTTTTTTTTTTTTTTTATATAATTCTTTATTTTTGTAGTGCATACAGTTGGAACAATAATGCTTGTGGTACCCCACCGGCAGTCCACTCGCTAATTTCAACAACAATAGATACAGTGGGGAGTGATTGGACAGTGCACATTTTGAATATGGTATAGACTGACAAAGTACATTTCACAAGCTTAAGTAGTTCGAGACTAGGCTAGTAATGACGCGTGAAGAGCAGAGTTTCAACGTTAATGAACAGGTTAATTAGGCATGTTTAGCTAGTGGGCGCAGTGAGTGTGAGATATGAGCTGTCCATGCTTAGTATGTATCATAAGTGATGTTCAGGTGTAAGTCTGTTTATATGCAGGTATATATGTGTACACCTGGGCTTGCTTTCCTAACATGTTACACAGGTGACTAAGTGAACACAATGAGTTAAGTGCTTGTCATACAATAGCATGGGTAGACAGAACAGTGCTAGGGGATAAGTCTGGCCAACAGAGCTAATTAGTCAAGGTGGTTGCTAGCTAGGAGTGGTTATCGGGACACAGAGCTATTAACACCTCTGTGTTCTGTAATCGTGGAAAGAGGGTAGCACTGACATTGAGAATAACAAGAGTCTTTACATTGCTGGAGATGATCTTGCTGTGTGTTAGCAGGAGCCGCTTTATCCAGTTGTCACCCAGTACCACCGATGGGCTGCAGCAGGGCGTTCAGCATTAGTGGGACCCCGAGATTTTCCGGTCCATGGACCTGTGAACCTCCCCACTGCACTCTGTCATGTCTCCTTGTGTGGTGAGTGCTGTCTAGGCGAGTTCTGCTGCCGGCACTTCCATGAGAGTGTGACTTGATCCTGCTTGCAGTGTCCATGAGCTTTACTGCCCTGTAGTAGACTGGTAGGATAATAGTGGGTGCTTTTCTCTTTGACTGCGTTGTTTTCCTCATTTTTGAGCAGGCGTCATCTTGATCTCTCTGGCAGCTCGCGCACATGGCCGGCGCTCGGCGGCCATCTTGTGTACTGTCGCCCGGGTGATGTTCCCTGCTAGGGTGGTTGATTGGGCCAAGGTTGGTGTGCTGGTTGGTACCTCTGCAGACCGGGATGACCCCCCCGGTCCAGGGGGGGGGGCGGACGCGAACCGCCGGCCAGGAGACCCAGGAAAGCGGCCGTCCCTTCCTGGCTCAAGCCCCAACGAACTCCGAGCCCGGCCGGGTTACTGTCGGTGCCGGACCGGGACCCATGCGGCATCCCCGCTTTCCCCAGTGACTGGGGGTCCTTGTGGACATCTGTGGGACCCTCCGGTCGCGGTTATCCTCCAATTTGCTCCGGTTTTTGGGCCTTGGAGCGGGAGCTCAGACAGAACGCGTCTGATCCCGTCGGCGGCCAGACCCCGCCCCCATTATATTTTATACCTATATCAATATAGTCCAGTCTGAAAGGTTATGCCATAAAGGAAGCGTAGATTTATTTCTCACACTCAGACGACTGTATATAGCATGCCCAGCTTGTTTCATTCCTTTACATACACTGTTCTGCTTGCTCATGCATTACTTATGATCCTTAAATATTATGAAAACGTGCAGTCATCTCAAATGCCATACCTATGTTAAACTAAGTTTTATTCATCTTGCAAGTGCTGTCGTGACACTGTAAGCTTGTCTGTTATAATGTGCACAGCAAAAAAATAAATATATATATATAAAAAAAGTTTTGATTTCAAATTGTGCAGAAAAGAAATTCAGAAATACATGCACAAAGGGTAGAACTGTGGGACAGAGTGCAACCAAAACATGGCAGAATTGGTATTTCACTCATTTAAAATGCTTTCAATTTTAAAGACTAATAAGTCACTGGAATATATGTGTGTTATTCCACATTCTCCCAAGTTTTTACTTCTACCTCACGGAGAAGACAAAGATTGGGGTTAAGGTACAAGTGTTTTTATGTTTAAATAACGTAAAAAAAATAATTCAGATATGCTATTGATGTCTGGAGGATGTTTCTAATGAAGCAAGTGTACAGATGGCATTGATTTAACTTTAGATAGAGAGCTTGTTGCCTAGTGCATCTTTTACAGAAAACATAGTTTAAAGAAAATACATAAAAAAGTACTTACCCCTTCTTTTTTTCCTTGCCAAAGCATTTTTCGTTTTTTTTCTTGCTCTGCAAATCTCATGGGATTTACCGCTGTTGGATTGTAATAGCTAGGGACAGAAATACCAGTTTCTGCTAAAGCCTTTGCTTGCAGAGCAGCCATCTGTGCAGCCATTGCAATTTGAGGAGTTACTTGTGTTCCGGATGCCAGTAACGCTGCTACATTGATGACAGATCCTCCACCTGCTGCAGCCACTAACAGAGCATATCAAATGATTAGCATAAAGAGTTACTCCATAACATCATCCATATCAAGTAAATTTAAAATAAAAAAGGGTTATGCAGTAAAATGTGAGATTTGTTGTTAGTGCATTTCAAATTTAAATCCCACAACAGCCAAACTGAAAAAAAAGTCTCCAAGCCAACCACGCTACCAATTTGACTTATTTGGCTTTACATTTGAAATACAATTCTCCCTTCAGTGAATAACCCTGCAAGTAATGCTATGTGGGTAAGAGTTCACATTTAAACATTTTTATCGTACTAATAGACAGATGATGCTTGAAAACTTAAAATATGTAGTTATTATGAGAGAAAACTCAAAATGGCCCTAACTCCTTCATTACTACACATTTTTCGAGGAAGGAAAAATATAAAACAAAAAGGGTTGTGTTCCAAGTACATATGAAATACAGTTATCAAATTACTTTTTAAAAGACTTAATACAAAAAAATTTAATAAGCCACTTTTATATAATCAATTTGCAACGGTGAGTAAATCTGCATCAATGTGTCATTCATCACCTGCAGCAATTTCCTGCTGTTTCTGTTTTTCAACCATTTCTTTTTCACGTTGCTCCTGAAGTTTTTTTGCCCTTTCCAACCTAGAAAGTGAAAATGTTAAAGTAAAAAAAAAAAAAAAAAAGTTCTTATTTACTAAAAAGTACAAGTGTATTCATTTTCATAGCGATTTCTATTATTTCTTTTAAAAAAACTACAGAAAAACATATTCAAGAAATTTACATCCTTACAGGGATTTTTGTCACACATTCATATTTCATACTCTTACTAACCGAATATCCACATTTCACAGAGTTAAATGACCACTATAGGCACCCAGACCACTTCAGCTTGATGAAGTGGTCAAGGTGCCAGGTCCACCTAGGATTAACCCTTTCTGCTGTAAACATAGCAGTTTCAGAGAAACTGCTATGTTTACAAATGGGTTAATCCAGCCTCTAGCGGCTGTCTCATTGACAGCCGCTAGAGACGCTTCAGCGCTTCTCACTGTGATTTTCACAGTGAGAAGACGCCAGCGTCCATAGGAAAGCATTCTCAAACGCTGCGCATGAGCATTCAGCCGATGACGGGGAAAGGAGGAGGAGAGTCTCCAGCACCGAGGGAGCCCGGCGCTGGAGAAAGTTAAGTGTTTAAACCCCTTCCTCTCCATCCAGCCCCGGCGGGAGTGGGACCCTGAGGGTGGGGGCACCCTCTGGGCACTATAGTGCCAGGAAAACAAGTATTTTAATGGAAAATACTATTGCCTTGAGTAATATTCTGCACCAAAGTAGTTTTTCTATTTTACCGTCTTGCTAAGGCTTCCTGTGCATCCATTGCAGTGTTTCTTCCTCGGAATGGAGGAGGACTTGGTGTTCGGCTATGACTCCTACTATGTCTTCGAGGTTTTTCAATTCTTTTCTTTTTCTCCCTATATGTAAAAAAGTTTTGATAGTCAATAAATTGTTAATTTACTGTATCCATGACACCCTGTATTTAATAGTGCTACAAATAATCATAGACTGATTTCAGCTTCAAAATGATCTACTTTAGTCTTTACACCAAAAAGAAAATACATTTATAAAAAGTCAGCAATTCCAAAGAAGAAAAGCCAGCACAAGCTAGTTTTTATATTGGTGCAGAGATCTCAAATGTGACAGTTCTATTTTAAAGGGATTAGTGTCCAAGCTAGGGCCTGCTGATAAACAATTTAATATACAAATCTATTCTCCCCCTATAGTTTTTTTTTTTTTTTTTTTATATACTCATAGAATGTTCTGAAATTCTCACACTTGGTGGACATAGATTATACAGAATATATGTAACTAAATAGGACTACTAAATATTCAGTGAGTTAGAATTGAAAGGGTCATTCAATAGAACTAGTATAGTTTGCTGTAGTTGTAAACGTATTAATTTCAATACATTCCATTTGGTTTGCAAGAAAGTAGGGACCTCACTGAAGCTCGATTGTTTTTTCTCTACTTGAGTTTTTTTTTCTCCTCAAGCTATTGAGTCCTTTTGTGGAATGTCAAATGACAGCAATGGCTCTTAAAACACACATGCATGCGTTTTATTACTGAGTTAAGCCTTATACTTTAGGTCCAGTGGAATTTCCTCAACTAAGACGGTGGTAAAGAATGCTTATTCGTGCAAGGCATATGTGCTCTTTAAGAAAGTATATGTATCATCGTAGGGATGTATTTAATTTGTATATACATGTGTATTAGGTTACTACAATAGCAGTTGTGGGATTATGCGTTTAATTGATTTACCAGTATTTTGGTGTTATTTGGGGAGGGGGTGGATTTTACATGGTCCAATGTGATGTCACTTCCAGCCTTGGTGGTGACCAAAGGATAATGGCCATCAGCTGTTCTTGTGGGTATACATCCTGATACAGGTAAGTTTATACTGGATTACCAGTCTTGAGAAAAGCATCTAAGCATGCAGAAGCAACAGGGGGGGATCTTTGTGACTGATATCCAGCTGTGGTAGGCTAATTGTATTAAATCATGTATGCTTTCTGGTACTGATTTAGCTGCATCACTTGTTCTTTGTATGTTAAAGGGACACTATATTCACCCAGACCACTTCAGCTCAATGAAGTGGTCTGGGTGCAATGTCGCTCAGGTTTTAACCCTTCAGATGCAAACATAGCGGTTTCAGAGAAACTGCTATGTTTACATTTGGGGTTAAGACAGCCTCTAGTGGCTGTCTTCCGGACTGCGAATAGAGGCGCATCTGCTGACGTCAGACGAGGGAGCTGATGGCGGGGGAGGAGAGGTCACCAGCGCCGAGGGAGCCAGGCTCTGGAATAAGGTAAGCTGCTGAAGGGGTTTTAACCCCTTCAGCGCCATGGGATTTGTTTTCCTGACACTATAATGATCCTTTAATCTTTTAGATTTTAAAAATTATTCAATAGAACTATTTCATATTTAGTGGCAGTGGTGTGCATCTTTTGTTTGGTTGGTTTTTCTCCACTTTTGACAGATTTTGCACAATTAATTTCTATAATTTCAGGCAGCTCAATTAAAGGGACACTATAGTTCAGACCACTTCAGCTCAATGAAGTGGTCTGGGTGCAAGAGAAACTGCTATGTTTACATAGCAGGGTTAATCCAACCTCTAGTGGATGTCTTCCTGAAAACAGCTAGAAATTAGCATCCAGAGTGCAGAATGTCCATAGGAAAGCACTGAGAAATCTTGCCAAGCATGCGCATTCCGCTCCACTCTGGAGCTGACGTCGGCGGGGGAGGAGAGGTCACCAGCGCCGAGGGAGCCCGGCGCTGGATTAAGGGAGGTAGCTGAAGGGGTTTTAACCACTTCAACTCAGCGGGAGGGGGACCCCGATGGTGAGGGTCCCCCAAGGATTATATAGTGTCAGGAAAACAAGTTTGTTTTCTTGACACTATAGTGATCCTTTAATGACAATGCAGGTAACCATCCCAACTTACCACATGCAGTAACAGTAGCAATTTCCCTCTCACCGTTATGCCCCTATCAAATATTTACATTTTATTTAGATTTTTTCCCCCCCAATGTTAATGAAATAAATTCCACTTGCATGTTTACAACAAAACATCTCATGCAAGGAGTAATACTGCTACTTTTAAACTAGAAAATTCTGAAACTCTTCTTTAATTGCAGATCTGGCAGACAACCACTAGAGGCTGACTTGGTGCTGCAATGTAAACATTGCAGTTTCTCTGGAACTGCAATGTTTAACACTGCAGCACTAAGGGCAATAGAGGGACACTGTACCAAGGCCACTTTAATGAGCTGAAGTGGTCTGGGTGCCTACAGTGTCTCTTTAATGCATGTCGGGTTTTACACTTGAATGCATTGTAGAGTGTAATACCTTTCATTTTAAACTAGTGAATATGTCTGTCCTCAAGGCATTTATTAAGATATTTCATTCAACACTTGCTTTATTAGAAAAATTAGTACTTACCGGCTCCTGCTTCGACTCTTGCTTCGATGTCTGTGCTTGGATCTTGATCGAGATCGTGGACGTCTTTTCCTTTCTCTACTTCTCGAGCGGGACTTTTTCCTGTCACGGCTTCTACTACGATGACGCCTATAGAAAATTCCCAAATCTTTAAAACATATACATATAGGTCATATGTGCACAATAACATTTCCTTAATTACTCTTGTATGTTTAAATACAGTAAACAGTATATGGAAAAATAAAGGTCTCGCCACATAATGAAGGAAGGGCTAAACAAATGCAAGCTTCAGCATGCAGTCTTTATTGTAAAAGAAATGTACAGCACAGGAATCTGCAAAATCTGTTGCATGTCATCCATATTTATATATATGATTTCATATTTATACACGCATAGGCCCTGGAAAACAGATTCCTATGCTGTAACATCTGCTTTACAACGCAGATGTTTTGCTGAAGCTTGAATTTGTCTCACTTAACTTTGATGCTTGCCAAGACAGTTTCTTCTTTTGTCTTAAAATTACTCATTGTTAGCTGGGAAACTACATTTCGGTGCACTCGGGTTAAGAGAATTGGTGTCTGCAGTAAATTTACTAGGGGTGACTTAGGCTCTGAGGCCAAATTCTCTGTTTGAGTTTTAAAAATATACAGTAAATAGTACAATAGTGCATTAAAGCCATTCTTTCAAATTTCATAAACAGATAACTTGAAATTCCAGTATAATCAAAAGATAACACAGACAAAGTAGGGATATCTTTGTCTCATTGAATTGAAAATCTTTGGCAAAAGGCAGTTTCCCATCATCTATAGCACCTTATTATACATGCGTGAGACTAAGGAAAACCATACTGCATCACAAGATTCTCCATTTTACAGTCTCACACATAGCTTATGCAGATAAAGGAGCAGAAGAACTATGTAAGCAGTAAGTAGATTGCTGTATCTTCTCAGTTATTATTATATGATGGATCCTGCAATCTAGCCTATATGTGTGAGAATATAACAGTGATGAAGGTTTCTGACAGATGAAGTGCCAGTTTACTCCTAGGCCACCACACAAGGAGTGTGGATAATATCTTGGCAAAATAACCTACTTTCTGGATGCAACATAGCCCATTTTAAAGTATTAAAAGGTGGTTACTCATGAGATAATCACTAATGCCCCTTGTTCACTACAAATCTTCAGAATTTTTTAGTCAATCCTAATCCTCACGCTGCACTGAGCAAATCCCATAAGCCAAACAAGAATGGGTTTATGGGACATATAAAGTCCAGATGTCAAGAAATTTCATTCACACACCTACTCAAAACAGCTCAGTAAACCAATACAAACTACAACATGGCATCTATTAAATTGTTTATTGTTGCCTAGACAAATCACAAGAGGACATCTAACTTGCTGAGTATTTAAAGGATCAACAAAATCAAAGAAGCCCAAACATTATTTTAACTTCTTGTTTATGGAGTAATAGCGGGAACTCTAGACCGAAGGAGGATATATCAGGATACCGTGTTATATTAATAAATCACATTAAGCTCTATCAATTAAGAGACAGCCCCCCTGAAAAGAAAATGGTTGCCTTATCTGAAATGCTACATGCTGCATTCATAATTTCTCACAAAGAAGATGACTATTTTTTTACCTTTCACGTGAGCGAGATCTGGAATGACTTTTCCCTCTAGAGGATTTTCTCTCTTTTCGCCTGTGTCGCTCCTCACCGTTTTCTGATGAGCTGAGTCTTTCCCTCATTTTTTCAGAATGCTCTTTGTCGAAACAATCATCAGGTCTATGTTTCTTGTACGACTTATCTTTGGACTCGTGTCTTCTACCCTGTTTTAAGAAGAAGGTGGTTCTTTCAGGAAAATAGTGCAACAAAGAGAGTTAGTATGGCATCAAAAGATTGCTCTGCTATGTTGTGAAGTAACACATGTAACCTTTGTAGAATCTTAAATTTGGACCAATATTTTTAGTATAAACCTATATACCAGGCACTAAAAATAATGAAAATGTCAAATGTATATCAAGGCCAAATCATGGATACTGGCATCCAACTTCAACAGAGATCCTTGTGGATGAATCTTTTAACAACTTACTAAAAAAACAAATCTTACACTTTAAAACAAACAGTGTTGTCTATCACAGACCTTTATCTATTGTATGGATTGACTAAATTGCAAAATTTATTGCAGGTCAATTTTTGAAAGGAAACAAAACAATTTGTGTTCCATATACCACACACAATATTTAAGCAGTGTGACTGGGAGAAAGGAAAAAAAACACACATCATGAGGCACTTTCATGTATTACTTTCCAATGTTGCTGCCATTATTATGAACACATGTATAGTTTGGAGAAATGTACATCCAAATTATACGCACAATTAAGAGGGTATATTTTTAACTTAACAGTTGAAATGAGAACAAACTGTTAAAAATATCCATTTGATTTAAATAATGTCCAGTTTGTTTGCAACCTAAAATGACAAAAACATTGCTAAACAGAAACATTAATATAAACTGAAAAAGTAGAATACTTCCTTGACTACAGTACAGTACTAATACTACAAGCATTCATACACAAATCACAACATACATCTAAAATATAATCATATGATTTAATTATTTACATACTGATATTATAGCTTGGTGTACACACAAAGTGGTGTCTTTCGGTTGATGCCTTATTTTGTTTCTCCAAGATATTCTCTGCACCCTTTGCAAATTAGGCTAACCACCATGGCCATCAACGTATTATTAATCCAATATGTATAGCAGAGAACAAGGGGAATATATACAATTACGCTCCTGTGGCAAAAACTTGTTACTATGTGTGTAACACAAATTGACTTATTTGCCAAGTAAGCAGAATGACAACTACAGTATTACTTGCCAATGTAGTACATGAGAAACATTAAAAGCAAGTATATACAGTACATGAAAATGTACCATGGTAATAAACAAAAGAACTTTTAATTGCCATGAGTCATATAGAATTGTATTTGATGTTCTTTAATCCATTGAAAACATCAGTGCAGTCTAAAAGAACAAAGATTAAAAGTATTTTCCTGCTTTCAACTGAACTGACATGCTGGGTTTATTCAGTAAACTTTGAATTGTGGAAAACAAAAATGGATAACGAAACTTAATTTTTAAGAAAAATAACCAAACTGATGTTTTCTACTCTCCAATTTATAACTAGATTTTGCAAGTCTATTTTCAATTCTCCAGAATTCCTGGTTTTAGAAAAAAATCCCTTGTGGTATAAAATAAACTATCCTGAAATAGAAAAATCACTGTAGAATTTGTCACCCATGCAAACATGTCAAATACATCAAGACAGCTAGCACTTACTGGAAAACATCCTTAAAACAGTTGACTTAATATATTGTAAAGGCAAATATAATGTTGAATGACTGATAGTTACCTTATCATGAAGTAGGCTTATTATTTTGCTATTTGAGTCTGCAGCGTCTTCAGTTCAGTCTCTTCGTGCTTTAGCACGCTGAGTATGATTTATTATAGAAATGTTATCATGTGGTCTAAGCAAAATAATCAATTTTATATAAACGCTTCCTAAAAAAAAAAAAAATCATCACCAAACAAACTATATAAGCTTGGTATTAAAGTCTGTATGACTGAGAGACCTTCGTGAGCAAATGTTTTAAGTATTATTATAATTTTTTTTTTTTTTTTTAAGGAGCACTTATATCATTAAAACTTGCAAGATTTTATTTAACACAACATATAATGAGATGCGCTTTTCCTGAAAGGGTTATTTCAAGGAGAAAGGGAAGGAGAACCATGTCAAGAATGCGTCTTCAGATGACCAACTTCATTCAGAGTTGATAGAAGACAATACATGGGATAAAAATGTAACCTGCCATCTTAAGACGAAGGTGTAAACTACAGATACTAAATTATCCATTGATCAACTGATTTAATATATAAACCATTAGCAAAATATTAGCAAGAACAAGAAAAACAACCAAAATATATTTGTTCTTACAATCTCTTGCAAATGATTTATATATGTCAAGGAAGTTACAAACGTAAATATCTTGATATGAAAAATAAAATAATGGCACCATATGCTACTTTATGCTCAATGCAATTTATTAAGTCTAAGCATATTGTACTTACCATGTAGTAAAACAATCTGAATATGAATACACATAATATATTATCAAGTATTAATTACCTCTTTGCTTCTGCTTCGACTCCTGTGTCTCCTCCCATCATCTGTGAAGGGGAGAAGAAAATCAATACTCAAACATTGCAAGCACAGTTAAAAATATTGTATTTAATACATGTATCTGCAGGAGGAATTACTATTAAGGAGGCTATCATACCTGACTTTCGTTTGTGCTCCCTTGAACGTGAGCGAGATCTTGAATAATGCTGTTTTGAGGACCTGGGAGATTTTGATATGTCGCAAGGATCCATTCGCTTTTCTAAATTTGGTGAAAACTTCTCTGGGGAGCATCCATCGTTTTCTGCATCACTAGACTGAAAAAAATACTTTATATTAATAAATAAACCATGAAATACAAACAAAACCACAACGAATTAAACACAATATCTGTGTTACTTAGGCTTCTTTACAATGATCTAGCAAAGTTAACAGTATTACAGCTGCCAGGCGGTAGGTTTCAAATTAAAGATAAAGAAAAAGCAAATACTTTAAATTTCTTTGGTATATGAGATCGCACAATCCCTAACAAAATACAAATGAAGCACAACTTCAGCACATGCAGGCAAAGAGGAAATACACTGCCCACAACTAAATACCCAACATCAGCAAAAAGTGCACTACTTTGTCAAGACAAAAAGGAAAAAACAAAAACAATCAGGGCCATTTGCTAAAGTAAGAATTCAAAGTGAATTTCAAATTTAAGCGCCAAATAGCCAAACTGGAAACATTCTCTGAATCAGGTATGCTTCCAGTTCAGCTAGTTTGGCCTAAAGCAGGGCCGTCCAACCCGCGGTCCCCCAGTTGTTGCTGAACTACAACTCCCATGATTCTTTCAATTAAAAAGACAGACAGGGAATCGTGGGAGTTGTAGTTCAGCAACATCTAGGGGGCCACAGGTTGGACAGCCCTGGCCTAAAGTTTGAAATTCACTTTGAATTCTCACTTTAGAGAATAACTATGAAAAGTAAACTATAACAGAATCCATACAAGAATATCAGCAACGACAAATGAAAATAATTTTTTTTTTTTAGAACAGGAACAGACTTAGCCACAAAGGCAGGAAATGATCAAGAACTTTCACACCTAGGCAAAAACGGATGATTTTTAATTAATTGACGCTCTTAGCCAATGAATGACTAGCGGAATCAGCCCACTTTAAGTCAGTGAAGTGGTCATGTATCTTGAAATAATCGTTTAATAAATATAGCTCTCTTACATAATGTATTAGCTATATGTAAAAAAGAATAAGTGATATTGGAGCATCAAGAAGTATTGGGGCAGGAAGATATTGTTGGCAACAATCTAACGGAGCGCTGAATAACAAGTAGCAATAGTTAAATGAACAATTAGAAAAGATGCAAACAATTTTGGTTTTAAAATAGGTCAGACAGAAGAAAGAGCAAGGTAAGGTTTTTTTTTTTTTTAACTATCTAAATGTTGCATGTATAAGTTATGAGGGATTAATATCTTCTGTACGGTTTTCAGAAGTAAAACGTTCTGGGTGATGCAAGGAGTATGACTGCACCTTTTTTTTCCAAATGTGCCTATTATAGTGACAATTCTCAAGAGTAGGCTGCTGGTGCTTAAGGGACACTACAATCTATACTTTTCTGCCTGTAGTTAAACTGTTTCGTGACAATATAGAAATCATGTAAACAAGTTAAAAAGACTATTGTTTCAGAAATCTTTTTCTGTCTTAAAGGGACACTATAGTCACCCAGACCACTTCAGCTCAATGAAGTGGTCAGGGTGCCAGATCCCTCAGGTTTTAACCCTTCAGATGCAATTTACATTTGGGGTTAATCCAGCCTCTAGTGGCTGTCTTCCGGACAGCCACTAGAGGTGCATCTGCGACGCTGGATGCGAATTTCGCATCCATTGCGCAGAGTGTCCATAAGAAAGCACTTGCCGTGCATGTGCATTCAGCTCCACTAGGGAGCTGATGTCAGACAGGGAGGAGAGGTCACCAGCGCCGAGGGAGCCTGGCGTTGGATAAAGGTAAGCTGCTGAAGGGGAGTGGGACCCTGAGGACACTATAGTGTCAGGAAAACCTCTGTTTTCCTGACACTATAGTGATCCTTTAAATCAGTGACATTAAAGGGATTCTATAATGTTAGGAATATAAAAGTCTGTATTCCTAACAATATAGAACCCCCCCCCCCCACCAGGTACATAAAGGGTTAAAAACTAAACCCCTTTATATACTCACCAGATTCCAGCAACTATGTGCTCTGTCGTCTCTCAATGACGCTGGATGTTCTCACGCAGAGCGTTTGGGCATCCAGCATCATTTTGGCGACCTAAAGTCCGGTAAACTCACAAAAGTGCCACTAGAGGCTGTCTTAGTACTACAATGTAAACATTGCAGTTGCTTAAAAACTGCAATGATTTACAAAACAGGACTAAGGGGGACAGGGACAGTGCACCCAGACCACTTTAGTTCATGATTTATGCCATAACTCTTTGAAATCCCATTACTTTTTAAGTGCTGAGCATAATATAAACAGCCAACTCAAAAGCAGTTCAACACGCTATGAAACATAATAACTAAATCAACATGACACTGTTAGTGTTATTTTTTTTTTCCAATAAAGAATTCAAAGTAAATTTCAAATTTCAGGCCAGAGTGATCCTTTAAGAAAATAAAAATTCCAGTACAGTCATTTTCACCTTTACTGAATTACCCAGTGTAAACTATTGCAAAAAAAATATATATATATTTTTGAAAAAAATATTAAATTCTCATTCAAAGCCTAACGAATATTTCCACAGGCCTACACACACACACACATATATATATATATATATATATATATATATATATATATATACACACACACATACTGCACCTCCCCCCCCCATGATGTTCATTCACAATGGATGAGACTCATGGGGATTGTAGTCACAAACATGATGCCAACGGTTACAATCCCCGTCTTTAACAAGAAAAAGCCTTGCAACCAATGGGAGCCAAGCATGAAAAAAAATATAAATAAAGATTGAATCCTTGTGAATAAAGTGTGCCATCATGACGTTATCCCGCTAATGGCCCGTATTATCTCACCCTGCCTGTATTATTCTCATTATTATTATTATAATATATACTATGTCCATCCGATTCCCCCCCCCCAGTGACCCGCCATGACACACGGTGCGGGCACGGCAGTACCCGCTGGGCAGCCCGTGTGACAGTGCGAGCGCTCAGTACATGGAGGCCGCAGCGATCATGGCGGAGCCGCCATTTTCTGTAAGCCTTCCGGGGCCTGGCTCCCTCCGCCAGGCACCACATCCTCACCTCCATCCGCTGGCTCTGCCTGATCCTCCCCGGCCGCTCTCCAAGCCGAGCCGCCGACTCCGGGGGTTCGGGAATAAGCCGGATACCGAGCGCCCGGACTGCCGATACGGACCGCGCTGGGCTGGGCTGAGCTGAGCGGGCGGGGTTCACAGACCCGGAGAGAGAGAGACACACACACACACACAAAGGAAGCAGCCGAGCCGCGGGGCCTGCTGGGAGTCCCGGGTGACGTCACTGGGTCCAGCCCGCCAAATTCAAGGCTGAAGGGAGAGTCGCGGTGACAGCGGGTAATGTGACATTGCCATACATTATACTTTACAGACAGAGTGTGTGTGTTATACACAGGTAGGTAAGAGATACGGATATAAACCGTTCAGAGATATGTGTTTGGTAGGCAAGATTTCGCATAAATAACTTGGACCTCACAATAAACACAGACACAGTTTATTTATGTTTCAGTGGGCTTGGCCCTGGTGTTTATTTAAAGCTTGAAAGGGGCGAACCACCATAACTTGATAACGGTAACGTTATTCACATAAACTTTTCACTTTACTTCCAAAACTTTTTTTAACTTTCACCATCACTTAATTCCCAGTCAGTCATAGCTGACCTGACTGCCTCTTGTATACAGCCATTTAACACATATCCTTCCTCAGAACTTGGACCTGAGGATGACATTGCCCCCCATGCTTTCCAACACCACAACATTAATTATAAAGAAAATTGGCAAATAGGGGAGGACGTGGATCCGTCTGTGCCTCTCCTGTCTTCAAAGACCGCTGACAGGGATTGCGCTTGCACTGCCACTTTTATACTTATCTGGCTTCCCGATCTTTTTAACGCTCGCAGCTAGCAACCAATCCCCAGCCAGCTCTTGTTTCCAGCAACAGGTGTGTCACCAAATCTGCCCAGCTACTTGTCCCACTCTGCCCAACAACCTAACCATGGGTCATGAACATTCCCGAACTGTATCAACAGGACAAATTAACCCTCTATTACCAGCATGCATATATGCCACAGTGCTTAATGCCTGTGTCATCTTAAAACAACACAGGCTTTATAACACTATCTGTATACAATGTCAGTAATAATACACACATACAATGTCAGTAATACTACACAAATACAGTGTCAGGCTTTATAACAATATCTGTATACAATGTCAATAATAATACACACATACAATGTCAGTAATACTACACAAATACAGTGTCAGGCTTTATAACAATATCTGTATACAATGTCAATAATAATACACACATACAATGTCAGTAATACTACACAAATGCAGTGTCAGGCTTTATAACAATATCTGTATACAATGTCAATAATAATACACACATACAATGTCAGTAATACTACACAAATACAGTGTCAGGCTTTATAACACTATCTGTATACAATGTCAGTAATAATGCACACATACAGTGCCAGGCTTTATAACACTATCTGTATACAATGTCAGTAATAATGCACACATACAGTGCCAGGCTTTATAACACTATCTGTATACAATGTCAGTAATAATGCACACATACAGCACCAGGCTTTATAACAATATCTGTATACAATGTCAGTAATAGTACACACATACAATGTCAGACTTTATAACACCATCTGTATACAATGTCCAGAAGAGTACTCACAGCTTCACATTACATATTATATAGTAGGCTGGATCAGCAGCATGGTAAACTGTTAATTTCCTGTTTAAGAGTGTTTATGTCATTATAAATATGTAAGTGTTTGCACACAAGTGACCTACATTATAAGATGCTCAAAGCACCATGACATTAGTTTGTTGAAGTGGTTATGGTGCAGTGTCCGTGGCACTACATCCCTGTTTACTTGCATGGTTTAAAGGGACACTCCAGGCACCCAGACCACTTCTGCCCATTTGAGTGGTCTGGGTGCCAACTCCCACTACTCTTAACCCTGCAAGTGTAATTTAATTACCTTGCAGGTTTAACTCCGCCTCTAGTGGCTGTCTACTAGACAGCCACTAGAGGGCACTTCCGTGTCCCCAGCACAGGAAACCTGTGCTAGAGCGTCGCTGGACGTCCTCGCGCTGTGTGAGGACCTCCAGCGTCGCTCATTTCCCCATAGGAAAGCATTGAAAAGCATTTTCAATGCTTTCCTATGAGAGCTCTAATGCGCATGCGCGGCAATGCTGTGCATGCGCATTAGGTCTCCCCGGCCGGTGGGCGGGATCAGTCTCTCCCACCGGCCGACGCAATCACTGGGAGGAGCGGCGGCGGAGGAAGAAGCAGCGACGTGGGACATCGTCGCTGCCTCTGGTAAGTTACTGAAGGGGTTTTCACCCCTTCAGCAACTGGGGATTGAGGGGTGGGAGGGAGAGGGGACCTGCAGTGCCAAGAAAACGGATTGTTTTCCTGGCACTGGAGTTTCCCTTTAACAAGAATCCTGTTTTAACCAACACCTGCCTGACCCTTCTGCTGCAGCTTAGCTAATGCACAAGTGCAGTTTAATGGTAATGATGGGGCTATGGTTCTTGGAGGCAGGTTACTATAGTATTCGCCGCCTATCGGTGCTACATAAAGGTGAGGTAATTTAGCTCATCTGCCGCAGATGATGGGACTGTTTTTTGTCAAATTGCAAAAAATTATTTGACACTAACTGGAGAGACAAGGCTCGAAGACTCTTTGCGCCATATGCACCACAAATAACCTTAACGTATTGGTGCTTAAAGGGACACTTTAGGCACTTTAACCTTTTCATCTCATAAAATTTGATATAGTGCCTGGAGTCCACTGGCACTCTCCCTGCATTCAGTATTAAAGGGCAACTGTAGAAACATGACTCCTTCATCTTAATGTATTTGTTATAGTGCCTTAAATATTAGTCCCTCCCACCATCTCCTGTCATTCAATGCCATGTATTTCTATTGTTAAAAGGTTTGCAAGTGTAGTTTTAAGCCATGCTTCCAAACCCTCTGAATGGGAGCACCAGGACTGTTAGTTCTTGGCTCTCATACCTGTTCATAGTGCAACATCACACACATGCGCAGTGTTGTCCATGTCATCTCATATAGACAATTATATTCAATGATTCTGTGTAAGTAGAAATCAGTAGTGGATTTCAGTGAGAGTTGTGCATTCACATAGGGTTCAAAATGCTTCTAAATGAGAAGCATTGGATTGGACCATAGTCCAGTGACCTCATGACATCAGAGGGGGTGTAGCATAATGCAGTGAAGGGGCTGCTGACTTAGCTGGAATAAAATTAACTATTTTAGTTTACACATTGTATGGTCTTAATGCGGTTGCCTTTATGCAAGAATATACATTTGAGAAAAAGGACCTATTAAAAAATAACTATACTAACACAGTGTGGTATTCCTATAAATATTTTTTTAATAGTTTAACACTACATAGTAGTCCCTGTCCACCCACAGCCTGGTGTCCAATGAAGGTTTGGTTAAGGCAGAAATAGAGGAGATCTATTTTTACAACACTTTCTCAAATAGGTTCCACCATCTTCCTTTTCTACGGTCCAGCTTCTTCCTCCAAGAGCCTTCATCACTAGTGTACTCTTGCACATGCAGGAGACTACAAAATAGAAATGGTGGATTCCACTACTGACAGTTGGTTCCAAATGACAAAACTTTACAAGTTTTGCGACCTTAGCTTTTGCTTATAATTTGAAGTAGTAGTGTATTATGTCCCTCCCTTTATCTTATTATATCTTTAATTTTTTTTTAGAAGTTACAGGATATATTGTTGTTTGTGGCATTTATAGAGCACCAACCATTAATAATTGTACAATTTAACAATAAGTAATTGATAGACACAAGAAGTGATGAAAGTCCAGCTGATGGCAGAGGCTTAGAAAGCATAGCCCATAAGGCAGGACATCATGTAAGTAAACTCCCTACTCACAGCTTAGAATTTCCAATAGCCATTATCAAGTTAAAATTCAGCCCTGGAGTATAGCACTATACCTCCGGTAAATGCTTGTCTAGTAGTGTAGGACTTGAAAATTTAAAGCCCTACTATGGCGATACAATGCAGACAGACGTTACACCTTGAGAGGGTCAAGGACTAGAGTGGTCAATTGGCAGGGAGTACATTTCACTGTGATCTGATTTTTTTATTTTTTTTTAAAACAACCCTCAGGGGTTAAATTTATTTTATTAATTCAAATATTTTAAAATTATTTATTTTAGCTAGCTGGTGTGGGTGGAAGTTAGTGGGGAATTGGGGAATTTGGTGTTGGGCTAGCTAGTGGTTAACGTTAAAGGACCACTCTAGGCACCCAGACCACTTCAGCTTAATGAAGTGGTCTGGGTGCCAGGTCCAGCTAGGGTTAACCCATTTTTTTATAAACATAGCAGTTTCAGAGAAACTGCCATGTTTATGAATGGGTTAAGCCTTCCCCCAAAGCCTCTAGTGGCTGTCTCATTGACAGCCACTAGAGGCGCTTGCGTGCTTCTCACTGTGATTTTCACAGTGAGAGCACGCCAGCGTCCATAGGAAAGCATTGATAATGCTTTCCTATGCGACCGGTGAATGCGCGCGCAGCTCTTGCCGCGCGTGCGCATTCAGCCGACGGGGAGGAGAGAAGGAGGATCGGAGGAGCATAGCTTCCTGCCAGCGCTGGAAAAAGGTAGGTTTTTACCCCTTTCCCCCTGCCAGAGCCGGGCGGGAGGGGGTCCCTGAGGGTGGGGGCACCCTCAGGGCACTATAGTGCCAGGAAAACGAGTATGTTTTCCTAGCACTATAGTGGTCCTTTAAAGTAATTGACCATCAATTTCTTTGCAAACTTAAGTGAACTATACTATCTAACTTTTTTTATTCTACTATTTCAGCTGTGTCAAAATGTGGAATGAAATTGAGCTTTTAGCAAATGATGATACTGGGAGTTGCCGCCTCAATATTGATTCAAGACAAGAAAGTGGAACGGCCTTATACCAAGTGGACACACTTCTCAAAATCTCATCCTCAGAGAAGGTATAATTTCTGAATAGTAACTGTATGTAGTGAAAAGGAGCCTGTGGGTTAAGTAAAACCTAACCCAGAGGCTCCACAACAGAGGGTAACTCTTAAAGTATCAATAGACAAGAAACACCTTACTAAACCACATTGGCCTATAGGCCTCTGAGGTTTAGGATTTATGAAAGGAGGATTTAATACATTGGATGTATCAGTAACAAAACAAGATAAAATGTTTTTATTACACCTGGACAATTCAGATATGTGCTTGTGA